ACCAAACGCCTCTCCAGTCTGTTTCCTTACAAGGACAAAGTGCCAAAAACTCTGAAATGAAATGTTGTCTATTTTTTTAAATGTCGATGCTGCTCCGCATCGTACCTGGGTCAAACCACCCGCCACCTACACACCAGAATTTCAGAGCATTTGGGAATCACCCCCTTGACTGGTAAACCTTCTAAACATCCCTGTCATTCCTCCATACTATCACACCTTAAATCCACAGGACACACCTCCACCTTCGAGGATTTTAAAATACTTTCTTCATGCTCAGACTCACAAGAACTTCTTATTCACGAAAGCCTCTTAATCAACAAAATGAAACCATCTCTTAACGTCCAAGGAAACTCCATTGTCCTTCAGTTGCTTTAATCTAATCTCGTCCGTCCTCATGTCTGTATACTTTATGATTGTTCGTGTTTTTTTGTGTTTTTTTTTGTTTCTTTCGTGTTTCTACTTATCCCACGTCATACCATCTTATCCAATATTTACTAACACCATGTAATTTAATATTATGTAAATAGTTATTATATATATACCGTCTATACTTGTAATTCAATATTGTCTGATGATGTCTTGAGAGTCAAGACGAAACGTTACACTTTTAAATAAATATTTCTTCTATACATTACATGGCTCTTTTAAAAGCACTTTGCTGGGCTTTGATATTTATATTTAAAGTTCGCTTTCCGCCCGGTATATCCCTGGTCACAATTCTAAAAATACATGGATAACCAAAAAAGGCAGGAGGCTATTTGGTTCACTTTTTAATTTAGACACTGAATTTACGGTAGGCCTTGAATGAGACATTGTTTGAAAGATTGCTCAATATGCTTGTAAAGGATTATCAAATTCAAACGTTCAAAGTCTCCCAAAAATTTCAGCACCTAACTGGGGTAAAACTTGGAAGAACAAAACCACAACCGGAACTTTAGAATTTTGTCAAAAAAATATAAGTTTTTATAAAAGCAATGAAATCCTTTTATGGTGAATTCAACCTGAATAGCGATTGAAAACATAGATGCATACGCTATCAATGACGTTGAATTAAAAGTCTAGGCAGTAAATGTACCTCTGATATGAAAATGGAAAAGATGTAAACATTCCAGTTTAATAAACAGCTTTTAAGCTTTGATTGATTATGACACCAACAACTATTATAATTTTTTTTTCACATTAATTTTGTATTATACGAGTTGGCATAAAGATTTTTTGTTCCATATTCGTACAATGCAGGATGCTTCTTTCATAATTAATATCAATTTGACATTTAAACAAAGGCTTATTCAAAAACGGTATTTTGTGACGGAGCTGTTTTATGAGTCACTGAAAGTCTGTTGGAAACCATTTACGACACTGTTCAGGTTAGTTGATGACAAGAAAAATGGAAAAATTGTTTTTCATCTAATCACACCTACAAGTACAAGTTTTTTATTTGGATTGCGTGCAATTAGTAATGCATTCACCATTGTTGACCATTGCTGACCATTGTTGAAGCATTATTTATCTGGCCAATATGCCCAAATGATGTCTGCAGCAACTTCACTATTATGACAATCATCTCTTAGGCACAGCTTAGTAACATAATACAGTAAGATAACTACTAACACTTAAAGGATTGTCTAACTTTTCATTGTTTCTAGCTTTCCATAATAAAGCAAAAATAATTTAGTGAGGGTTACATAAAATTGATAAAAAAGGTCTTTTCCACTCATAATGCGAAACAATTGTTAATGAAATATGAAACTAAGTTGTTTTAAAATAAAACATATTAAGGGGAAAGTTGTTTTGCAACTTTACAATTACAAAATTATATTCACATCAAAACACATTTAATTGTTTGATTGCAGTACTATAGGGTACTCCAATATATGTTTTTAGAAGAAAAGTTGTATTACTCCTAAGATTCAATGACTTTTGTTTTTTTAGTGCATGCTTATATGTTCTATGAAACACTGTTTATCGAGAAAATTGCACAGTCCGCATACGTTGCAGGTTAGCAATGGATGTTTAAGTAACAAATTATACCTCAAATTGACTGTCGTAAAGGTCTTCATTTAAATTTTTCAGCTTTACTTCGTTTTTGTAATAAATCAATTTATATTATTTCAATTTGAAAGATTGTAATTTATTTCACAAAATTCAATATCAAAAATATTGAAAAGTTAAATGCGTGATGTTTGTCAAGAGATGTGGTACAACCCACGGCTTTATCTCACACAATCACACAATCATCATGACAACATTGAATCACTTTCATTTTGCTCTATCTTCTATTATATTTTTGTCAAGAGACAGCAACTTTCACTTTGGTGAATGTTAATGTAGCAATTGCTGTGCCAAAAAAATCAGATGTCTGATAATCAAATCAAACTTTATAAATCAACCGGCAATTCTCTCATATTTTAATGGAGCCAGCTTCACACATGCTATTTTATTCAGTGTAAAATTTTCAGAAGACCAAACGTGTCTCAAATTTAGTGATAGTCGTACCCATATACTTAACAATCGACACTTGAATAAATAGACTACACCAGATCTCAGAGGTTTGGTAATTTTGTCCTTAAAGGGGAAGAAAGAAGAGATATGTTGAGAAAGGCGGAAAACAAATTTAATGGATATATGTGGGAAGGCTGCAGCACAAAGGCTATTGATTTGTGTGCGAATTTGAAAGGAGTTTATGCCGGTGAAAGGAAGACAGAAATAGATGGGCATTTTGTGAGCAGTCTAGACAGGTGGTTTAGGGGCAAAGTTATTATTTGTCTGAAGATGTCTTGAGTAAAGACGAAACGTCACAATAAATTTAACTTTACAATTCGTTTTTTTTGGTCTATTTCTATGGCTCTAATCAGAACTTTATGTTGGGCATTAATTTTTATCACACGAATTCGATTTCCGCTCGGCAAGTCTCTCGCTACAAGCATTTATATAATTACAATTAAGACATGAAGATTATGTTTGACACTCCTCAATAATTACTTCATTGTCATAGCATTTATATTGCACACTTTATCTTGATTTTACCAAACATTAAAGCAAGAGGACAAAAACAACTCAAATTTAACATTTTAAATTTACTCAACTGATAGTGCGTATATTAAAGATGCAAATATACCGTTAAATAATTTTCGACAACATGCACTGTTACATAATAAACGGAAGACTTGTTATGAAGAGCGTGTTGCATCTATTTGGTGAAGTATAAACGCAATTTTAAGACCACGGTGCAAACTGACTGAAAGCACTATTACATCACAGCTATACAGGTACACGTAAAAAATAGAATAATTTCGAAAATGTATGTGTAGCCATTGCTGTTTGAAAAATAAGAATAAGAAACCGACAATTTAAACACGATTAACATAATCCTATTCTTTTACACTCTTATGAATATGTCGTCTCTTAATGCATGTATGCACTAATAAAGTTCTTTCTGATGGTACAAATTCTTTGCTACCATATAAAACAGAGCACGAAATGTTATACAATATACGTAAAGATATAAGTAAGTGTTCAGGTTGTATATAAATTGATGACTTGGCTTATTTCCTTAGCCTGTATGTTTTTTTGCAAACTCTTAAACTTTCGTATCATTTTAAAATGTTTACAATGAGGGATAATATTCTCAAATTATATGACAACAGAAAACTTTGTCATTATGACATGGTATCCGTCATTTGAAATTCAAGCGTCTTTCAATTTCTTCAAAGTTACCAAGATACACAGCCCACGATGTTTTACTTCGTGATGATTGAATATTAATGAATTCACTTTGCTTTATATTCGTCGCTGGCACACGAACTGGAATTCTTCCATTCTTTTATTTCAATTACGAAAGAAGATATGAAATGCTATTCATGTTTCTAAAAGAAAAAACACCATAAACACTCTGCTAAATCAAAAGAAATAACTGAAAGAGACTCTTCTCACACATGATGTTCTCTTACAGATTCACTTGTTCTGTTATTGTGCTTACGCAACACATTACAGTTTTTAACTGAATACTAATTCCAAATTTTTAAGAACAAAGTCCAGCGATTAAGAAACATTATTGAAATTCCAAGGAAATACATTCAAATCATAAGTCTACGTTTGTATATACTCCCATGCTGAAAAAAATAACTTTTTTGTTTGATGACACCCTTCCTCCACGACAGAACAATTCAATGACGTCTTAAGCCTCTTATAACATTTTTCTGGATGCAATTAATTGTCTACAATAGCAAGTGTCATTAACCCACCCTCGATGATTGTCATACATTGCAGTTCTGTTTGCTGCGTCACAAACACCGTGTATAAGCATTTTTTTCCTTTTAAACGCAAAGAAGAAAAGGTTATCTATTATTATTATTTCGATATTGTGTTCATAAAATATATCGAGTGCCATGCAATTTGATTTGACTAACTTCTTTTTGTAAAAAATGCTTTGTCTATTTAACAATATGCTCTAAGTATCTCGAAATATTTTGTTTTTAAAGTATACACACACTATGAGTAAAAACAACATTATTAATGTAGTAACACTTGGCAAGCTTCTACTCCTTTAACTTTAATATGGCAGCAAAAGGTTTATTGCTGCCAGCAGTGACTAAATTACCAAGCAAAGATAATGAAACAATAACTATTTCTACAATTTACATTGATATAGCAACGATACGACAATGCGGTGTGTACTCTAAAATGTTGCGATACCTTTATTTGTGTATCTGTCGTTGAAATTAAAGTTAAAAACTACGCTTCTTGCTATTCTATTTTTTTAGTGAATTTACATTTCCAATGTGTTACGTATTTTTAATAGGAGTTATTTATTTATCGTGAACAAGTGGGAAATATTATTCCACAAAGAATCTAGATTATATTTCTTTTCAGATGTTCTCATTTGCCGTAAACTATGTGTCAATACGTAATCATTAAGCTGCTAAATTTAACACGCAGCAAATGACATAAAGCAATTCAGTTTTCAATTCATTGATATATTGGTATTACATGCATTTTTCCTACACCCCCCCGAATACATTAATAATTCGCCGGGTTTTGTTATAAGGCCTTCATTTTTGCAGAAGCTGTCGCAGTGTAAAGATACTTACAACTATAGAGAGAAGAAGCCCTTCATCGAGGAAATTTGTGCCGTTGGTTAAGAATGGATAATTCAACCAATTCAACAAGGACAGAACTCCATGACAATATGGATCAATTTTTCCTAATAGTGAATGGATTCATAGTTGTCTGTAAGTGATAATTATTGAAACTTAACATAACGTAAGCCCCCCAAAACAGAAAAAGTATGTTATTTAGATATTTTACATCGATTCTTTTCTTATGACTTCTTTACGGCAACTTTTGCCATAAAAGATACAGCCATTTCAAAGAATATCTTTTATTGAATTTAGGTGTTTGAGGATATTTTGTCGAATTATCTCCAGTTATTTCAGCAAATTATTATTTATTGATGTTATTGGCAAAATATATGTTTTGTATGCTCAAAACTTTTTGAGGTTACTATGTGCATTTAAAGATTTTAATTTTTACGCCCACTGCTCTAAATTTTTCACCCACTGTCGTTTTCTATATTTATCAAATCTTCATTATTAAACTACACATGCAGATAGAAATTTTAATATAAGAAGCTGCTATTGTACTAAAGCATGATGTAAAATCCACATCACTTGTCCTTCGTTCTAAAAGCCCAACAAAGAAAAAATGTTTAGTATTTTTTGAGATCTGCATATTTCCTTAAAATGACAATGAAACAAAGACATGTTTAAGTGACTGTATCATGTTTCAAAGTACGAACTTTCACGTGAATAATAAGATAAGATAAATTCTTTGTGGTCGTTTATATGAAAACGCGGAAAATGGTTTAGCGGAAAACGTAGAGAGAAGCGGACCAAAGTTAGAATACAAAGATTAAATAAAACATGCATTGTAAAAATTAACATTGCATGATTATTATGTCTTATTTACATTATATTTTCAATTTTTAAAATCTATTAGAAATTATCGACGCACTAAAATTTTTCTGAGTTTATCCAACGACATTCCACTGATAACTGACGTTTAGTAAACTTTACTCACCTGATACTAAGAGTGGAAAAAACTGTGAAAAACTCTGGATCAAATTTTTCTATTTCAATGCATGAAAACTTGATAAACCTGAAGGTTTAATAAAGTTATAGTTTAAAGAAATAATCATACAAATTTTAACAAAAATTTTCACGGGAAAATAATTAAGTCTTGAAAAATATATATTACAGTATCCGCGTTACCCGTAACTCGCTGAGAGACCCTTCCCCAATGTAGCCGGTTTTTCAACAACTTAAATGTTTCATTTAAACGATTTACGTTAAATTGCACGAATGTTCAAATCATTTTAGCTACAAATATTGCAAAAATTGTAAATTTGGCAAAGAATTTCTATCGCCGAATTGCTATTCAAACATACGTGATACGTTACACATACCAATATTCGGCAGACACAATTTCATCAAAGTTGTTATGATTATCTGCATATATTGGAACTCAAAATTCTAGTTATTTCGTTTATTTCGTTAAAGACAATAATGACAGTTGGTTGTGAGTATTCTTTGCTTGACAATATCCTGAGAAATCAAAGAATGTCATAAGTATAGCTAAATAGTATACTTAAATATAAAATTGTCAAGAAATTTAGTATTACCCAAAATATACAGATCTCTAGGCTCAATTTGTTGATCTTATGACATTATGATTATTGAATACAACTTTGGCACAAAAATTTGTTTCTTGTATTAGTAACTTTCTTCTTAAATTAATCATTCATAAACTCCAATTGAACGATCTACAACGTTTACATGTAGCTGTGTTCATTGATTTTTGTGCTTTCTTTCAATTCACCAGTTTTTGCTGCTTGCTAAGGTTTTTATAATAGCTAACATTGACAATTACTCTCATTGAAAACTTAAACTTTTAAAAGATATATAGGCAACTCTTGGTGACAATCAAGCTGCATTAATTTTAAAGATAATTATTCAATGAGTTTGAAAATCGAAATTTGTCGACTTTTTAATTTATAACACTAATCTTATTAAAAATATCATTGCCGCTGTGTCTCTAAAATGTTACGATGGCTAAATTAGCAGGCAAATTGCAATTTTATGAGCTCTTTTGACACAATGTACTTTGCCCATTTTGAAATAAAACTCTATTTTTACTAACATAGCAATGTTTATTTGACAAGCCGAACTTAAATATTCAATATACTATAGTAACATACCAACGATAGGGCTATTTTGAAAGCTATTTCTTGAAGGGATAACACAGTAGATACTTCCAAACTATCCAATGGTTTGGCACAGGGAAAATTATCGCTGATGAAAATCTCAAGAGCAGTGTACAAATGATATCTTATGCCTCAAAACAATGTCGCCATTAATTGAACATTCTCAATATTTCACAATTTGCCTCGAGCCTTTCCTCACGTGGTCTATTTTGATGACAATATTATTCTAGCAAAAATACAACAATAGTATCTAATATTTCATTAAGCATCCCATAGCATGTAATATCTCTTATTCATGTTCATTTAAGCAGTACTCTAGGTATGTTTGATGGAAACAAACCATTACCCTATTATATGTCACAGGATTGCTATAAGACGATTTTCATTTGATTTGGATGTATGGTATGTAACAGGAAAAACTGTTTGAAATGGATATTGTAAATACCGTACGAAAGATTCCATACATTTTTAAAAAAATTATGTTTTTGTAGTGCAATGTTTGCCTAAATGTAAGCGGTGCATCTTAAAATATCACGTGAAATTTCACGCTAACTGCATGTGAATTTTAGACTTGGAATGGACTTTGAGAGCAACCCACTGTTTTACGAAGGATAAAATATGTAAAGACAAGAAAACTTTGACGTTAATGTATGTTTTTGATGATCGTTAATTGTTATACTAGTTTTTAAATTTAAGGAGTTGAAATATATATGCGTATTACGAATTTGGCTTGAGGCAGTAATATCCAACAATTTGTAGTGGATTTTGTGAAATTCAACTTTATATAAATAGAATACCATTGTTTTTAAACTAACGAGTTAAGAACTAAAACGTTGCTAAAATTATAATGTCGTCTGCAAACAGAATTTTTTCTATTTCTTGATGATTTCTATGGAATGCATTATATACATGGAATGCAAGAAATTTAACGGAAAATGGAAATGAAAGAAAGTGGCATATTTTGTGAGGACTTCACGCTAGCTCAATTAGTTACGGTTAATACATTGGCAACACCTGGTAGAGTATCGAGTTCAATGTTATTAAGAGATCATGTCCTAAATTGCAAAAACATGTTAAATACAACATAATTGTAGGTTTTCATCTTATAGTTTTTCCCTTCTAATTTAGCAGATGCAGAAAGTAAACAGTCATAAACGTTTATAGCTACTAAATCAATATATTGTCTGATGTTTTGAACACAGTTAACACAAAGCATAATTTTCGGGCAAAATTTGTAAAAGAAAGGGTTTTTAAAAGAATAGCTCTTAACTCACAAGAATTTCAAACAATTAAGGTTTTTATTATTTGGTCATTTTGGTGAGCACTTTCTTCAATAATTCTCGCCATTTCAATGATCAAATGCAATATTAAGAACAATTTCGGCATATATTGTTTTGTTGTAAAATTAGGACTCTGGTAAATTAGGACGCTCGTATTGAGTCATGTGGTTCTGCATTTTAATTTTACTCATCTTACAATTATGACAATATTTGCTGTAGTAATATGCATTCAAAGAAATAATGTATAATAAACCCACAAGTATTTTCTTTCTATTTATAAACAACTATTTATATTCTAGCATGTTCGAACGCAGGATTCGATATTTGACGAATAGTTGATAAAATAAGCGTTTTGTAGGGTAATTTGGTTAGAGACTTACACAATTACGAGTAACTAAACCGATGCATATTTCATACTAGCAAATACAAAGCAATATGACAAAAAAAATATGAAGATACATTCATGTTGCCCGCCGGACGAAAGAGCACTCGTACGCCCGTATTTTAAAAGCTCACTCACATACTCAATAAGTGGGGCTTCAAAATCGCTTCATATTTATTCCAAGACTGCAATTTCACTGCACTTATTGCTTGATTTGAAATATCAAGGAGAAAATCTTGCCATAGATGGAGAAATGACTTTGCCAATGATTACAGCGTGATTTTCTTGTCGCACTTAATGACTGTGAATGTGAGTGGGCTTTTATAATACGGGCATTAATCTTGCATCGATCTTTATCAAATTTAAAATTTTCACTTTCAGCAGTCAATTTTTGACTAAACTCTACAAAATCACAACAACAAACTGAGCCAATATTCATATCAATTCATAGTTAGAAGAATTAAATGATATCATTAGCGACGTTGTATTGTATGAATTAGTTCTGTGTATTAATGACATCTTAGGATACGTTCATGATACACATGTGGCTTTGACGAGATTTGAACTTGCACTTTCGACGAGTTGTTATTCCACTGCTCTACTTGTTGAGCAACCATGCCCAAAAGGAATTTGAAACAAGTGAAATATCTTTTTTGATTCTCTACAATGTCCATCTGATTCTCTGATGGTGGCTTTGCACGACATAAAGCTAAAGCCCGGTGCTATCAATAGACTGCTATCGTATAGCTAGAGTGCCTTCTCCATGTACAGCTTTTAAGAGATTCGACTCGACCGCAATCCCTTTGAGCTAGATAGCTCAACATGTTGAAGTGTATTAGTATACCAGGAGTAAATGTATGAAGCTCATCAAGCAGAGCGGTGGATTAGAAAAGCGAAAAGCGAGTTGAAATCTCGTCTTAAAGTCACTAATTTTTTCATGCGCAGATAAAACCGTTTCAGGATTCATGTTTTGATTATATCTGGTTTCATCATAAAATTTCAATCAAGCCTCATGTGAAGTTTAATGACTTAAAAAATCGCCGATTATTTTCTTTGTGTAAAGTTCGTGCTAATTAGGAACAATGCAATGCCTCGAATGACTTATGCAACACAGCACACATCAAAAAAATTTAAGTGACTTTAAACATTAAAGACATTCAGATGTGCCAGTGTCGTTATGTTTTTTGTTAAAATATGGTCAACAATAAAGCGATATTGTCATGACATGTCATACAACACATGTTGATTGGTCATTTTGTCAACTTAGCAAGCAATAAAGATATATGAGCAAACTTTGAAATAATTTTTGTTGTATGTTTAGCTAAGCAGATAGAAATAATACATCATGATATTGACAGAAAGTTATTTTATGCTTTGTGAATAACTTTGTTCAACCATAACTTATATATCATAAAAAAGCGCTGTCTTTATATGATGATTGTTATGGTAACGAAACAAACTGGAAATTTAAAATATTTTTATAGAAGGCAAACTGCAACGCTTTTTCATCTCATGCTCAAGCTATAATTATATTTTCTTTAATAAATTCTACAATTATTGTGTTGTGAGAGATAGTCGTGCAAATAAAATTTGCGCTGTGGTCTTTTGATATACAATACACCGCCATGATCAAACAATCCAAAAAATGTTTTGTGTTTTTGTAAATAATAATTATAATATATACATCGCTTGAATGAACAAGATACAATAAACAGATAATCCAAGCCTTAGCCAAATTTATTCATTTTTGGCGTAGCTGTTTTAAGTGACACAACTCAAGAAAATGGCTTTAGGAGTTGAGTTAGATCAGTTTTTCCTTATCGTAAATGGCTTCATAGTAATGTGTAAGTCTTATTATCTATTATTCCTTTATAATAAATATGTTTAATTTATATCAGATTATACTATCTGAATCGAAGTGCTAATTAAATTGCTTTGATTCAATCAAAGCTTAGGCAAAATCCTTTTGTCAAATACGAAAGTGACTTATTTTGCGCCTCCAGCTTCACAATTTTACGGTTGACCGTTTATTCTAGAGTATTGAGTCATGTTTATATGGTTGTGAAAAGTACGCAAAAGAAAAAGTTATGAAAGCGGTACAAAATTTGCGTTAGGAAATTTTCCCATGCAATAGCTTATTAGAAAAGGAATCTATAATCGTTGTTTTCTTCATCGCCGTCAATACCAAAGAAGATTTTTCGGTAGCATTTTGCCATATACGTTGTTATGTCATGTATGATGTAATTTGTCCATGACTTAAAACGAAAATTCGTCAAACTTGTAAAACATCATGAATGGGACAAAGCAAGTATCATTTCTTCATCATTATCATAGTATATGATTGCTTATACTAGTTTCTATTAAATTTCATCAAATGGAATATTTGAGGATGAATATTTAAGGCACATCAAGACAAGTGTTTTTGTTTCTTTTATCACCATCGGCACGAAACGAAGAATTTTCGATTGCGTTTTACCGTATGATGATAGTTGACGAAAATGAAAAATAAGAAAGAGTAAGCGCTTAAGAAGTTTGTCTTTAATTTCTTATGGAAGATTTTGTAATTTAATGATTGAAACATTTATGATGATTTCTCAGTAGCAACAAAGTGATCACAAAAACGTTAAATCTGTAAACATTTATCACTATATTTACGGAAATTATGATGGCTACCAGCAACATTCTGCTATAGAATCAAAGTTAATTAAAAATAAAATGGAACATAATCTAAGTTTAATTAAAACTCATCATGATTTTACAAAAATTAAAACATGAAAACATTCATATACAAATACCTAATAACCAAGCAACATTCAGAACAACAGCCGAATAAAATTTCAGAATAATGAAATGGAAGATTGTAAGAATGATAATCATATAGTTTATTGTTTACAGCTTATTGATCTCAAGCATTTCAAATAGAGATAAACAATTAACGTAATTACTGTTTTAAGATATTTTCTCTGAGAAGATTTTTACTGTATTGAGGTTGCCCTAAAGCGGGTTGCTTAGTTATCATATATTTTTACCTTAATTAAAAAGAGTTTATTTCCCTCTTTGAATAAGAATTGCACCCTACAGAGAAATAGGGTGGATTTTGAAATGTAAAATATTTGTGTTCCAACTCATTTTTATGATAATAGAATCTGTCCTGTCGATCATTAAATTGAAAGAGCATTCCAGGTGTAATCGAGGTCTGTTTTAAATACACGTGAATTAAAAAGCAATTAGGAATTCTTTGTTCTTGTGGTAAAATATTTGACAGAAACACATGAAGTTAGTGTGTGCTTTGTGCGTGATAGCCTGTACTTATATTATAAAATAAACATGAGACATTTCCTTGGTATGCCGTACCCAGTAGAGTGACTAAATGCCTTTGAGTTGTATAACTTTTACCCAAAAAAATCTTTCAAAAATTCATTCTCTGGTATTTCATAACCAATAACATTGTCAAGAAGATAATTTGAATTTAAAATTGAGCTATAATAAACTTTATTTCATTTACGCAGCAAATTGTACTACGTTTAACACTTACTTAAACATCTCGGTTTTTATAAATATTGATATTGTTAAAGAGATTACGTCATATTCCAAGCACTATTTCCTAAGAAACAAAATGTCTACAACCCTCTGCTAACATAGAGCGTTCTATCAAATGCGTAAATTATAATTAATTTCTAATCTATAAATGTTGTTTTTTCTTAAGTTCTTTGAAAAAATACTAACAACCTGTTTGAGATCTAATTCTCCTCTCCAATTCTCCCCTTCAACAATTTATTTGTAGAAGTGAGTTTTTATACGTTCACCGGTGATAATTTTACAGTATGTTATGCTCTAATTGTGATATTGACTAATTTGTCATACTTAAATTATATCGAAAGCACAATCAAATAAAATGAGTTGAAATTTTCTGTTGACATAGTTATGTCTGGAATATATTACAACTATGTTTATCTTTAATTTAGTTATGCAAGCCGGCTTTGCATTCCTCGAGGCTGGATCAGTTCGATCTAAAAACACGACAAATATTTTGATAAAAAACACCCTTGATTTATGTAAGTACTCGTACAGGTAACTCGTTGGTTAACTTTACAAAATGATGCGTGTGAAATTGGTAACTTTCAAAGACATGGAATTTTGCACGTTCTGTATGTTTCTGTTACCAGGAAACGCAAAACAAAACTTAACAGAAATGTAATTGAATAAAAATTTGACATGGAGAATGCAGTTGGTTATAAATAATCCAATTTTTGCAGACTTCTTTATTTTGTCTGTGATCAGGCATAATACAATCTTAAGATGGAACGTGCAAAAAATCAAGCTCAATACAGGTTTAGGTACTTTGTGTACAGTTAGATTCGTTTACTCCTTAAATAATTAGGTTGATTACCTTTATGTCGGGTGTATGTAAATGACTAGAATATTATAAATAAGAAGGTTGTGTTGTCGTTAGCTTATTTTCTCAGCTTCATTAGTTCATAGAACAATTTTCTGTGTTAATTGCACGTGTCACATCATTAATCTTTCTCCTTCTTTAGTTATTGGCGGCATTATTTATTGGTTATTTGGTTTTGCTTTTGCATTTGGTGGCAATAACGACAAATACAAAGGAGAGGGAGATAGGTTTATTGGCCATACAGATTTTGCACTTGCTGACCTGGACAGTGACCAGTATGCATTCTGGTTCTTCCAGTTTGTATTTGCAGCTACTGCTGCCACAATTGTGAGTGGTGCCATCGCTGAAAGAGCTGAATTCATGGCTTATCTGATATACTCGGGATTAATTACAGGTACAAAGGCCAAAAGCGAGGTAAAATTTAAAAAACAATAAAAAAAATAAAAAATGTGTTTAACATAAAAATAAAATATTAACATACTAATATTTAATTATACACATATTACCAAACATAAGAAAAACATCATCAATATTCATAATTATCTTTGATAGTTTCCAATAACGGGGTTGCACAAAATATGCAGAAGAGATTTATGTATGTATAGGAAATTTGATGAATCTATATTTCCCTCTTGACTCGTGAACCATGATAAAGCTTGAATAAGTGAAATATCTTGATCATTAGTTAGAAATATATAACATTGGTAATTCACGACACAGATTTGATGAATCACTTATACCGTAATCACTTAAAAAGGTGCCACAGATTGCCTTTTCAACATTAGGTCAATAAACAATTAAACGAAGCATTAGATCTCAGGGGACTGAAAATTGCTTTTACAACTCCATATTCATAAGTAGCTGCAAGAGAGCATGCTAATATTGGCATCATGAACCCTTTGTTTTTGTCTGCTTCAACTAGCTTAGCTTCGGTCTTCAAAGTGAGCAAATGATTAAACAAAAGAAAACGCTAATTTCAACTGCTGAGACAGCACGTGGTCTTCATTTATTCGATACTTTGGGTTTGCCATACGTAATTACGAAAAAGGTATCATTTCATTATCCAAATTGTTGTGATAATAGGCCAAGATTGCTATTTAATAAGAAGTCTATCCTCACGTTAATCCTCACAAAAATCGTTGAACTATTACAAACAAGATGCCTGCTCTGCTTAAGCTCGCTCTCCGGAGATGAAACAAATTTTTTTGGGGATGACCCAATCTAGACAGAAGGGAATGCAGCGAAACGCGACCCAAAGAAGAGTTTTTTGTATGTTTTTCTAATCTCGAGTAGCTTTCCCAAGTGTTTGAATTTAACCATCTAATTTATCAAAACATTTAAAAAAAAATTAGAGTTTTATTGAATACGAACAAGAAGGGGTGTAACATTAGCAGAAGTATGAAAGCTGAATTATTCCAAATGGCAGATTGTAAGACGAAATTCTCTCAAGCAAAGGAAGCAGTAAAATTTTGTAAACAGAATTGTCAAAACGTTTTGTAAAAGACATTTAAATTTAAAGTAAATATCGCTCCATATATTATGTTTTAGCGTAGTTTTGTCTCGTATATAGTTTGCACCCCCTACTATTGTTTGTGAGAAGATAACTTCATTTGTAATTGGACTGCCGAAGAATTACTTTTTGTTACGCATTGCAAATAACGTATTATAAAAGCGCAGTGCAACGAATGCGTACTTGGGCAACGAAGTCGTTTTCTCGACAAGCCGGTACCTCTTCTCTTGTCCCTCCAGAGTAGGAGTAAGAAATCCTATTTGCTTTAGTTTCTACGCATAATTCGGTATTCGAGCATCTCTTTAATGATAAAAGGCAATGTCTATCTTAATTCTCAAACAGCAATAGAAAAATAATAGGACCGACAAAATGTATCTTACTAGATGAGAACGGTATTATGACGGTAAAGTTCGTTAGGTTTATAGTTTGTGATCTACCTGGTCTAGAGTACGAAAACATAATTACCGCAGTTTTGAGTTAAGAAAACACAGTTTCCAATAGTCGGAGTATAGATTTGTTTTAAATAAGGCAAGACCGGCAAGTGTATAAAATCTATAGTAATAAGTTTTAAAGAACTTAAGAAGAAACGGCATGCTCGTCTAAAATGTCTTGGATTGACCATCTGTTTGAGCACTGCATGTCTGACCAGGAAGTCACGTGTTTTCTAAATTTCTTGTATACCATACGTTAGAAAAGTAATCCATTGATTCTTTAATATCAATGCAAAATGCTTTATTGTACTTTTAGCCATCAAAAAGGGCTTTAGCCACAAAGAAAATTTTATATAATCTAGCTCCTCCATATGCTTTATAGAGAGGTTTTTGAATGAATGAAATTTTGCAATTATTACATTTTAGGTTACATTTCACCGCCACTCAATTAAAAATATCCGCCTTCGATCTTGTTCAAAGTATGAGTTGCTTTTTACTCTAGGTAGTTGTAGGGCAACGGAAGTCTTAAATGCACCTGTGTATTTTTGGTTTTTCTTCTGTGCCGAGAATTAGCAATTGCACAAATCAACAGGTATTGTCTACTGGTGGTGCATAACAAATTCAGTACTTTTGCTATTATAAAGTATGAATTTTCAAAATTTTGGCAACAATTCATAATACCTGTAAACTCGTTGAACAGAGCCGAAGAGCAAGGTCAATATTAATCAGAAAAAAGTGTATATTGACCCCCAAGTTCAACCACTGAGTACAAATAACATGTTATCATACTACGTCCGCAGACGTTCAAGGCTACGTTTGTCTAATTTTTGATTGGTTGCTGCGTTGCATTATGTTAGTTGTTTTTAAAATTTCATATGCGCCCTGCTGTTAAATTACATAAGTAAACACAAAACAAAATACCGTGCGTTCACTCTAACTTTTTTTGAAGTAAATTAAGTTAATGACTGTCGTTTGTATGTAAATATATAAACGTGTCATTAAACTAACGTCAAATGTTTAATATTACCAATATTTATTAAAAGTAGCTCAGTAAAATCTATATAAATGTCAATACCAACGGTTGTACGAATTTTAATACCAATGACTGTATGAATGTCAATACCGATGGTTATGCAAATGTTAATACCAACAACTATACGAACGCTGACTCTAATGACTGTATGGAAAACAATTTATTTCGAAGAAAATTAATACCGTAGAACTTGCTTTTATGAATATCGCCCCTCCCCTCTAATGGTCTAGCTGGCTATACCATTGTGACGCAATATATAATGGTAGGCTGTAGAACTTATCGCTACGAAATGTTGATGTGCCTTCAGTTATTCCTGTATGTCTTCATGCAGGAAAGCAATGTAGACACGAAATTGATATGTCGAGGTATATACAGTACTGAGTTTTAACACACAACTTCGTACCCGGAGTTAACGCCTGAGCTGGCATCTTCTTAAAAGGCACGTGACATCATTTTTGGATATTATCTGTTGATTGTTTTGGTACTTCTCAAAAAATATTTAACTACTTGCTAATTAGTTTTTCGGTAAAATGCGTATTTGTTACAACAACTCTAATACAAATTGTAACATAAAGAAGCGAACACTGGAGGATTGAAACCCAGAAATGCACCTGTAGGATTTTTAATTTAGTTTATAATGTACTTTTTTGCTCTTGCACAGAGTTTGAACAGTTATAAACATGACATATTATGCAAAGAATTCTATGACAATGTATGATTTCTAATTTTTAAACATTTGTTGAAAGTGTAATCATATTTGAGAGCTACGTTATTTCTAGAAATACTGTTTGCTCGTAAAAAGTAATTCAGAAGTTGTGAAGTATTTTTTTTAAATCTGCTAGAGTCAATAAAATCTAAAATGTTGTCATAAGTGTTTTAAGAACATATCGTTCCAAAGATAATTAATAAAGGTAATGCCTAAGGCTCAAAAACTGTCAGTGTTCGTGTAATTATTATTTCTATAATTTTTTGAAATACGCAAATTATGGTTTTATTACTGATTACCACTTTCGTAAGTTAATCGACTTGATGTAATTAATTGCTAGTTTGCTACAATCACTATATAATAAGATTTAGATGCCGTTCGGGTAGGTATTATCTTTGAAGAATTTAGAGATGCATTGTGTTACATTGCATAAGTTTTTGGATCTTTTGTAAAAAGTGCGGCAATTATGTAGTCATCTTTACTTTTCAGGATTTGTGTATCCTGTGGTTACACATTGGGCATGGTCTAAAGACGGATGGCTTGCAGCAGAAAACAGTGACACTCCATACATGGATTTTGCAGGCAGTGGTGTTGTTCACATGGTTGGTGGTATGCTTGCTTTAACTGGGGCCATTTGTGTTGGTCCTCGTATTGGACGATTTGATAAGTCAAATGACCAGTCTATACGTGGTCACACAGTTCCGGTGAGTGATTGAATTTGTCTGCTTATTTCTTTTCCGGTTCTTTTCAGAAAGACTATTGCCATTAAAAAGATTTTTCTTAATTTAAATCAAAGAACAAAAAAAACATCTTGCGTTTCTCAATTTTGGCACAATTAAAACTAAGCATTTTCTAGAATTTCTGATCTATTTTATCCATTCGTGTTAAAGAAAATACAAAGGAAAATATAGTTCAGGAATTTCAGAATTTATAATTGCTGCGTAATCGTTTGATGCAAACAAAAAACATCAAAATTGAAACTATACTCCAATGATAATAACTTTGGAATAATTTAAGTGGAAATTGTGAGCCACTTATTTTCCAGGTTAGGTATACAAAGTAAGGAATAGATCAATTGGGCAACAACTGTAAAGCTTTGTGTTTCAAAATAGGCAAACGTATTTTTATAACTTGACTGACTACCTTGTTTATCTGGAATAGTAATAAAACAAATATACAAAAGGAAAGCAATCCTTAGCTGTTGCAGAAAAGTAATGCAGAACAGCAATGTTATTTAGTTAAAATCAAATCTTATTTTAAAATTAACTTAAGATATATGCTTTTTTCACACACTTTTTTAATTCACGTGAAAGGGCAAATATTTAATGTCTTTTTACATAAAATACTCTGTAAAAATGTTTGTTTTCTATAGTGTTGTTGACTTCATTTTTAGATGGTCTCGTTAGGTGGATTCATTCTTTTCTTTGGATTCCTTGCTTTCAACGGAGGATCACAATTATCTATTTCAAATGCGGGCGATGCAAGTGTTGTTGCACTTGCCATTGTTAACACGATTCTGTCAGGTTTTTGGAAACGTTTTTTGTTGTTTTTGTAAAAAGCATTTATACATTTACACAGTGGCGGATCTAGAGTTGTTAAAAATAAATAAATTATTGCAGGTTATTTTAAATGCAAAATACTTTCATTCTACCATTGAATTAAAGTCCTCATGACACAAAATTTTCCTATTCAGAAAAAGAACTTTTAACTGTATTGTGTTCCATTTAAAGACTGAAATTTGCATTAAATTCTTTAAAGCAATTTTGTCATGTTTGGTGATTGGTATAAAAATGTCTCTTATATTTTTCCACGCACAATACCAATTAAACATTATATTATATTGAATCGAATTTTTTTTGGAAAAGTTAGAAGTTAAAACCAAAATTTTAGAGGTATAAAATTGATTTGTCAACAGCCAGTATTGAATTCACACTTATAGATGTTTTATGATAATAAATAAACTACTTTATTTTTTTATAGGTGCTGGTGGAGCTGTCACAGCCATGTTGATGAAAAGAATTGCGACTGGATTGTTTGATGGACACTGGAGCTTACTAACGACCATTAATGGCGGACTTGCAGGCATGGTAAGATTGTTACTATAGTTTAGAATCAAATAATGTTCTTTTTTGTTCAAAAAAGTAAAAATAGTAAAAAATGATTTTTTGTTGGCTTAGCAAGTAAATAAAGTAAATAAGGTTAAATAAAAATAATGGCGAATAAAGAAAGTGAATTGGCAAATTATAGAAAGTGAAATTCGATGAAGTTATTTTCTACAAAATTTTTGCCATTTTTTAAGGTCTCTATCTGCGCTGGATGCAACACAGTCGAACCTTTCGCTGCGTTTATAACTGGTCTCTTTGCTGGTATGGTCTTCATGTTATGGAGTTTTGTCCTGGAGAAACTGAAAGTTGACGATCCACTTGATGCCGTTGCAGGTATAATAAAAATTGCTTTGCAGGTCACACAATCTTGCTTTGCTCTATCTTTGACGTTGTAGTGGGAATTAAAAAGACAGTCATGCATCTCAAACCATGCGCTAATCAATTTGAAAACTTTTTTCACCAGGATACTGTAAAGCTATCAAAGATGTAGCTTGTTCTATTTATAACTCTAAACTGATGCTCGTAGTCGTATTCTAAAAATCACTCCCAAGCACTTGCATAATGTGAAAATACATAAATTTTTTTCTTATACAATTTAATGACAATCTATTTCTCCATGAACGGAAAATTCAAACGCTTGAAACCATAGAACAAGTTGAGTGAAAATATAATCTTCGAAAAGTTGGGACATGATTTTGAATACCACTTGCTGACTGTAAGTTTCAGTTTTCAGAATACGATCATTAGCAAGGGTGTAAGTCTTGCATTTCTTTACTCTCACGAAAACTGTTGTTTTTTTGTATAGCTTATCCTTATACAATCTTGAAGGATGACCATATGCAAATATAAAGAGCTGCTTGAGTTTGTTTTGTACAATGGCTCACAAGGGACACCACAAAAATAATAAGAATTATACAAAATAAAGATATTAATACATACACAAAATACATCATACACATACAAAATAAAATTGCACATACAAAAAAAATATACACACAAAATAAAAATACACATACAAATTATAATCGTGGGCGCTTGCAGTGTCGGCTTACTCGGAATTGTTCGGAATTGACCTTTTATGTTTTCAAAGTTCCAATGGCTCCAACTTCCAGAGTACATGACAAAATTCACTCATTTCACTGTGATAAATTATTTCAAAGTTGCTTACGATATTGTTTCCCGTATTCTGGTTAAAATTAAGGCTAATGTGTTGGACTGGTTGCAGCAACGATTCCGTCTCACTCTCGGAATCAAACACGTACTATGATGATTGTTTATCAGAATAAAACATTACACACTTGATAACAGGTTATTTCAATCGTGGTTATCCGTATGGGGCAATCGTCAGACTTTTGAAAACCTCCAGTATTCTGATGTCTATACGGAAACGGCATTTGTGCCAAAAAGAAGCTTTGTCAAGTGATTGTGCACCACAGTTGCCAGTTGGCACAAACATAGACCAGTAGACCACATGTTATAGTCACAATTACACATATCTGATTAGAAACTGATAATAAACTGATAGTCCGACTATCCGACACTGCAAGCGCCCGCGATCATATTTTCTACGTGTATTTTTATTTTGTATGTGTATTTTTATTTTGTGTGCGTGTTTTTATTTTGTGTATGTATTGATATATTTATTTTGTGTAATTTATCATTTTGTGTTATGTCCCTTGAGAGCCACCGTAGTTTTGTTTTTTTACATTTTTTACAGCACCATTTTTCTCGAATAGATTTTACTAATTAGTTAAGGTATATGATGAACAAATGCAGAAATGCTTTAAAAAAATTTAAGAATTTAAGGTCATAATTTAATTATAATTTAAATTTGAAGACTGCTTCTCCTTTCCAAAGTCTAAATTTAACTAAAAGTTTTACTACTATCTTCTAGTGCACTACGGAGCTGGCTTATGGGGAGTAATGGCAGTGACGCTTTTTAAAAGAGATGATGGTGTTTTTTATAAATGGAGCGATCAATCATTTGATCAATTTGGCTGGAATTTGCTTGGTGCCGCTGTCATTACAGTTTGGTCAGCATTTTGGGGATTTGTAATTTTTGGATTGTTGAGAATTTTTGGATTGTTACGTGTGCCTCGTGATATTGAGCTGAAAGGTATTTGTATTTTTTCGAAAATAAAGACATGAATTTAAGTGATTTTTTCAAAAATGTAGCAAAATTTAAAAAGAAGTAATTCATAATCATGTTTTATCCCCAGGCCTTGACGTGCCAAAACACGGCGAACCAGCATACCCAATTGAAAGCTATGGCGATGGGTGGTCTCAAACGCCAGCTGTAAATGGTAATACCCACAATGCTATTGGTCTCGCCAATCGTGGTATTCAGCAAGACATCCCTCCTGGTGCACCGCGAAGTTAATATGACACGTTGTTTCTAGACTTGCCCTAACTTTGTTCTTTAACTCTCAGCATTTTTATCATATATCTTTTCACACACATACACTGAATTGTGTTAAATAGTTTGCGCGCTTGCATTGTATTGGCTGAGGTAAATGTAAGGTTTTCGAAATATTTGTAGAGGATTTTTTCTTGATGTAAATGTTACGATAGCTGCACCTTGTTATTTCAATGTATCCTCAGGCAGACCACTTTCTTGTTTTAGTTAAGACCATACTTGTCTCTTTGCGTTTTGAGTAGTTCATGATCTCATCTACACTTACTTGTCTTGGACGTATGTTTTTCCTCAAATTTAAACCTTTCTGGATGTTTAGACAGTTACTAAAATTGTTATACTGAGTTAGTTTTTCTTTCATAAAATGTCGAAACTAAACATCAAGAATATTAACTGCAATTGATAGATCATCGCATAGGTATATTTGTTTTCTTTACAAAATATGAAATTTGACAGTGACAGAGCTTGAATGATTGTAAATGGCAGGCATGTATTTTTTTGCTCCTGACTTAATATAATACTATAACTACAATTTAATGATCTTATTGTGACAATAAATATTAGCTTAGCACAAGTCTTTGGAGTTGTTCTTTTCATATTTTTTAATATTAATTTATATATATCGTTTGATTTTTTTTGACGAGGTAGTGTTCTTCCTTTGCTTTCTTATTAGAATGTGCTAACTCTGATTTAACTACGAGTACTACTACCGCTACGAGGTTTAAGTGAAAAGGATCTGGGTTCGATGACAAGTTGTCGTACTCGTAGTCAAGCAACTTGTTAAGATAATGACGAGAGATAAGTACGAGAACAACAGAGATAACTTTGCTCGTGTTCACAAAAAAATATGCGTGCGCTGAATGATGTATAGCTGTGTTTGCAAACCGATCTGAGCTTAACAAATCGAACAATCAATCGATGAAACAAATTCTAAATCAGTCATGAATACATTATAAAGGAAAAATTAAAAGGGTTTAATTTTGACTTGTCTATTTCGCATTATTGTCATCTTATAAAAGAGAGAAAAGATGTTCTTAGTTTTGCACTTATGCAAACCTCGGTGACGTTTGCGAGCAAATGGTTTGCACTGAACTCTTGTCCGCTTATGTCCTGTTCAGAAGAATGCAATTTAATTTTATCAAATAAACTTTAAAATTAAACTTTTGTTCCATAAAACCTATAACTTGGACCTATTTTAACGTTACCAAAACTGTGTGGCTACAAGTAATTTACTGAAGTGCACTTGTTATCTTAAAATATACATGGGTAAAGTAGTGGTAGCATTGAAAAAGTAATCTTAACTGACTGTGCAAGGCAATGCTTTATATTTGATTAGATTACTGGCTGGAATGGCTGCACCTACCGCACTTAGCATTGGCTTGGCAATTTTTCATAAAAGGCAATTGTTTGGCTGTCGTTATGGAAAGAAAATAATTACTTTCATCGTCGATTCATACTTTTTCAAGCCTGTATTTAAGCAACATGGTAACGAGAGGAGAGGGCAACTTCTCTGATCACCAATATTGTGATATTTCAGGAGAAATGTTAGGTGAATGTTCCTCTATGCCTTTAGACGCTTAGATCAATACCAGATAGAATGTGGTAGGCATTGGGGAAAACTCGCTTTTCAGATAAGCTAATATATAAATTAACTAAATGTGTGTACCAAACTTATGCAAGTTTTTCACTGAAAACTAAAACTGCTATGACGGAGTAGACGATTTCCAGTAGTGCATAAATCATCATTGAAGAATTAAAAAAATTTTCTAAATATCTTATTTTTCCCTAAATATGGAGCGCCTTAACAACGTGGACTTGTCATTTTATTTATGAACTGTCCAAGTTCAACTGTTCGACATTCTATGTGAGATGTCGAGACAATGTTTCAACTGATAGAGATTTTAAAATCATTTCATATGATGTGAATGCCGATAAAAAAATATTTTAATGAAGTAAATTGCAGCAGGAAGGGGCACACATTCAAAAAAATTATGGGGGGGGGTTCTATTTTCTAGCGGGGACCGAGTGTTATATAGTGTTTGTGATTGATTGAAAAGCTGTCAATTCATAAATACAAGCAGGGTTTTTAAAAACAAAGAGGATTTACTTTATGTACAACTTGATCTTAAAATAAATGAAAAACTTTTCTGATAGTAACAAAGAAAGAAATATTTAAAGATATGACACCAGTCATGAAATGATTTTCCCCCAAAAAGCATCGAGTAGCTTTAAATGGAATTATCAAAGGAAAATTAGGTGCAATTCTCACATTTTTTCCTCGTTGTAACGCCCCTATATAATTTTAAGACGTGACTGGTAACTAGTTCTGTTGTGTTAGCTACTACACCATAATTAATTGTTACATGCATAGCCAATTAGTTATAACACTTTTAGCGGTACAAGTGAAGCCGTGTAACCATGTAAAAGCGCAATGTTAAAAAAATGTTTTATAAAGTCTAAAGTCTGCATTCACCTAACCGAACAAAAATGAGGACAATTCAACACTGCGACTTAAATTCGCTCAAGGTTGCACTAGAAGATGCTCATACAACTTAAAACCTTGACTACATTTCTAAGCCCTTAATAACCGACCGCGAGAAAGATCGGACAGAATGTTTTTGTACAGAGACTATTCAGGGGCTGATAATCTTTTTCAAGCAGTTAGGATGTGATTCAAATCAATGGTTAAGATTGAAAGTCTATTACAGCAATTTTGTATTTAAAGGATTTGTTTTTTTACATAAAAGTATTTTTGTGACTCTAACATTCAAGCGCTGGTTTCAAAATCTAATCATCTAAACAACCACTTCAAAAAATTAAAATCAACGAAGCAATGCGCCTTTGATACCTAAAATCTAAAATTTTTATAAGATTCTATGATCATAAAAATTTTAATGTACACTGTACTTGATGCGCCTTTGTATTATTCAGTTTTTTCTTTCCCATGACTTGCTACCCTTAACACACGGCCACGAAAGGAGACACTTAAATCTGATTGCACTACGTTGAAGAAAATTTTTTAAAACAGAAGTGTTTATTCTTTGCTTAAAATGAATTGTGTTTGTTCTTGTGTGCGTCATAACGGTGTTCTTATGGAAAAAATTTCCAATTTCTTCCTAAACGGCTCATATTTTCCCGATTTTTTCCGGGCCGACTATTTTGTTCAGTAGCAACATCTGGACAGACTTTTCAGACATTGTAGTGGTGCCCCCCCTAATTTGTGCCCCTGGAAGTAGGAATAAAGCTGTATAAAAGAAAGTTAAGTGGCTAGCATGCATGTCATCTCAATCAACATGTCACGGTTTGACGTACTAATTTGTGCGAGTTTTCTAAAGAGAAGGATAAGTGTTCATAAAGCAGTCAATTATTTGTAATAATGTGAAAAGTGTCAATGAAGATTGAAACTGCACACTATAGCAAAATATTAATTTTTGAAACAATACATATCTATTTTCATTACAGCACATCACATCTGGTACGAGATGCAATCTGGTACGAGATGCATTGCACAGCAAACACTGTGCAGTGGCTTGGATAACTGATAAAAAAATCTACCTATAGCAAAGGCTTATAGCGATTTGTAGTTGAATTTCAATTTTTTTTAATACAGAAATAGTCGTTCGAATAGCTAAAATCTTTTTTGAGTTAGGGCTTTTTAAAAACACGCCTATTAACTCTACCTCAGGATTCAATGTATAACTAGAGCTAACTGTCTTTTGTAGTTAATTATAAATCTGCTTGTTTACTGTGACGCTATTTTCAAAAACTTAACTATTTCAAATATGAAATAAAGTAAAGAGAAATTGTGGGCACCCCTACCCCCTTTGAGAAAGGCTATGATATCGGATGCTTCCACTATCTATCTAAATTAGCAGAATCAGATTTATAGAAATTGTGTCTCAACCTTTAGAAACTGATTTCAACATTTATTTTGTCATGAAAGTAAAGAGAGAAAGAAACATACATTTTCTCTTTTACTGTAGGTAATTCTTTGGAAGGACGTAAATGTAAATACTGTAAGAAGCTTTAATTGTTTATTTTTTAATGGAAATTTCACAAGAAACTTTTATAGAAAATAATTACATGAAACTAAAACATTTTAAAGTATGAAATCCAGTGTTAATTTCTACAATTAAAGCTTAAGTTTCGTGCATCAATAAAATATTTCATTGAATTTATAATATTGTTTTCAATAAAACATCTAAAAAACTGAAAAACACTTTTCTTTTTGCAAGAATTTGCTGGAACTTCAATTTTGTGTGATTTAAAGGAAAAGGTTTGAACACGGGAGTATAGCTACAAGTTTGTGGATGTAGATTTTCCAGGTTAGTAGAGTCTTGAGAAGGACTGTTGGTGTAAGTATTGCCTGACGTTTGGAAAATTAGTTGGCGTGGCTCCAAATTAGAGGCTTTGACATGTTAACTGTCATGGCCCTAAAAACTCTATTCTTCCATTAAACATTTAAGGATTCATATCATCTGATCAGGGGCAAAAGAAGCAGGGAGCACAAGCTTCGAAGTTACGTGCCAGGTGGATAGGGTATTTAAATTTGAGACTTCAAACATATTATATTCTACTGTTAAAAATGTCTTACTATTTTAATGACTCAAAGAAACCAATATTAGCGTTCATTGTCGTTGAAATTAAAGAAAAGGCTTAGTCTGTGCTTCTTTTTAAACAAATTCTATTGCAATTGTCTAATTGGAAATCGAATCTCTTATTTGTTTGTGCATATCGAGAAAAAGGTTATTACCGGAAGCCAAATTATCTTACAAATATATATTGACGAAATATCCCTATATATTCTGGATAGATATTTGGCAATTCTTTAACGCAATGTGCATTATTGGAAAATGCATCATTTTCTCATGATGCTTGTGTCGTTGCAATACAAAGTCTCACTACTCTTTTTCTAGAATGCCTTTACCTCGATCAGATCACCAAACTTACCAATATAAAGCACCTTTGTGTCATCACAGAACATGCCCTTACAACTTATACATATAAAATGTATGAATAAAACTTCCTGGTGGTATATTTTGTAAATGATCAGGACTGTACTAACCAGGACGATTTACATCCACAAACATGTAACAATACTGCCGAGTTCAAACCATTTACTTCATTACGATCATTTGGACAACAGAGCAAAAACATAAAAAAGACTACATACGTTTTGCAAGCAACATAAGCCAACAACTCTCGTTAAACCTATGTTGCAATGACTTTAGACTCGTTCCAGCAGCACTTAGTACCCGTTAAACACACAAAGAGGCTATTCAGATTGTCAACTCTGCTAGCGACTATATCATAACAACTGATTATAACGACTGTCACAGACGAATCAACATTACATCAAGCAACAAGAACAAAGACTGAACAAACTGAAAGAACCCATGCCAACGACAGTAAGTAACACTTTACTTTCTACGATGCGAACTTTAGCAGAGAAACGAGCAAACAAGACAAAGACACAACACCAAATCAAACAACAACAAAAACTTAAACGTTTAAAACGCACTGAAACACGTACAAGGCATAAACATGGCGATAACTGGGTGAGGAATATTTCTTCCCACTCATTAGACGAAAATGAAACGCGACTACTATCTTACGGACTAAAACATTCCATAACACCTAGAAACGAATCCTGACTGAGACGATAGTATCAAGTGTCGAGGCTGTCCTAGCCTATCAAAGAGACTTGTCAGAGACAAGCAAAGACGAGATCAGAAGCAGGTTAGCCTCTGCTCTACAATCGACCTCTATACGTGACAAAAACTTGACAAAGGACGAACAACAAGCACTCAAACGTCTAAAACACGACAACAGCATCGTCATTTTACCAGCAGACAAAGGACGCGTGACTGTGGTCATGGACAGGAATGATTACTTTAACAAAACGGACACCCTTGTTAATAACAGACAAATGTACGAAAAACTCAAACGAGATCCAACACCATCACTAGTACGCAAACATAACAGCAAGATCTTCTCTATGAGAAAATCTAACATTGTATCTGAACGTATTTACTATTGACTCAGATGTTCAGTACCACGACCACCCAGACTGTACGATCTACCAAAACTTCACTAACCACAAATACCCATGCAAGCAATTGTATCATTCTGTCATTTCTGTGGTTCGGTTACTTGTGAACTCTGAAAATACTTGACTGGCATACTGCAACCATTTACAAGCAAATCAAACACAAGCCACAATCTACTGAAGCCTTCATTAATAAACTAAAAACTATACAAATACATGACAACTATATACTGGTGTCTTTTGACGTGAAATCACTGTTCACCACTATTCCACGTGATCTGACATTTATTTGTACGAAAACCCTCACTACAAACACTACGGACGTACTTCCACTACCAACAGAAGACATTATGCAACTACTGGAGCTCTGCCTCACCTTGACTTACTTCCAGTACAAAGGTGCAAACTACAAACAATTACATGGAGCAGCAATGGGTTTACCTGTTTCAGTTCACCCGTTTCCGCTCATGACTTACAAACATGCACTACCTTTTTGGTTCCGCTACCTAGATGACAATCGCAGCACTACATGCAGACGAGATTCATGACTTTCACACTCACATCAACAAACTGAACAGCCACATACAACTTACCAAATATGTCGAAGAAAACGGAACTCTTCCTTTTCTCGACTGTTTAGTAAAACATGACAATCGAAAACTACGAACAACAGTTTATTGCAAATTAACACACACCGACCGACTACTAAACCAATCATCGTACAACCCTACATCACACAAAGCCACCACAATCAGAACATTAACAAGACGTGCACAAATCATATGTGATTCACCGGACGCTCTACACAACGAAAACAACTATCTCAAACGTGTTTTTGACAAAAACAACTATAACTCAGACTTCATCAAACGCAACTCTTTTTTGGAAGAGGCGTGACGCAGAAACAGAGCTTCACAATTTTTTGGACAATATTTGTTATTACCGACAGAAGACATTATGGAGCTACTGGAATTCTGCCTCACCTCGACTTACTTCCAGCACAAAGGTACACACTACAAACAATTACATGGAACAGCAATGGGCTCACCCGTTTCTGTTGTAGTTGCTGAAATTGTGATGCAATCTTTACAGGAACGGGCACTAACGACTTACAAACATGCACTACCTTTTTGGTTCCGCTACGTAGATGACACAATCACAGCACTACATGCAGACGAAATTGATGACTATCACACTAAACATCAACAAACAGAACAGCCACATACAATTTACCAAAGATGTCGAAGAAAACGGAACTCTTTCTTTTCTCGACTGTTTGGTAAAACATGACAATCAAAAACTACGAACAACAGTTTATCGCAAACTGAACGACTACTAGACCAATCATCTTACAACCCTACATCACACAAAGCCACCACACTCAGAACATCAACAAGACGTGCACAAATCATATGTGATTCACCAGACATTCTACACAACGAAAACAAACATCTCAAACGTTTTTTAGACAAAAACAACTATAACTCTGACTTTATCCAACGCAACACTTACAAACACAACGAACACAACGAAACAAACAACTCAACGACAACAGCAACGATACCATACATAAAAGGGACGTCTGTAAATATTTACGTATTTTACAACCATACAACATACGTGTCGCACATTAAATAATCACAACGTTACAACAAGTACTAAGAAACATAATGGACAAAGAACAACCCAACGAGCGTCAAGGTACAGTTTACGAAATAAATTGCCCCGACTGCCACACGATAAACTGCTTCGCTTGAAGTGTTGCCTCTTTTCAATGCGTCGAAATGATTGTACGCCTCACTGAGTCCCAGTTAGCCGGGATCATGTAAACAGCCCCTAACCTGATGTTTACTCCTCTCTTGACTCTGAACATGACAACCGCTAAGATTTTCGAAACGTCAGTCCTTCTCAGGACTATACCAACCTGGACGATCTTTGTCCACAAACATTCTTTATTGTCTTACTTAAACAATTTTCTTCTTCCATCCTCTTTTTATCACTTTTAAGAGATTTTAAAAAGTTCAATAAAGTAGTTTTCTCTTCAACAAGTGAGCCCACCAAACCATGTAATCTTTTGACTTCTGTTTCGGCTTTCGTAATTCTTTGAAGCATTCCATTCATGAAATTCGCTTGGTCTTTTCTGACCATTAAAAGCTCGTGTTTCAGCTTACTTCCAGTCAAGTTTCTTACTTCCAATTTCGATTCTTTATTGTGTAGACCAAAATTTTAAGTTATAAATTAAAATTTGCAATGATTTTGTCCAATTTAACTGTTCCCGATTCTAAGTTACACTGTAAATACTGATTGGTTAAAATAACCATAAAAATTGGTTACCTCAGATGCATTTAACTACTTTAACCAATATTTTTATGGTTACTTTAACCAATGATATGGTTATTATCTGTACGTTGATTATATAAGTATGGAGGTATTCGTTAATCGTTATTGACAGATGTCTTATTCGTCGGATTACGTTTGACACTTTTCTTTATTTTGGGCGTGAAATGGATTGACATTACCTTGTTAGATCTACGTCTAGTTTCCCCACCGTGTTTTAGCGATGATTTTTGGTTTTCACTAGATTGATTAGATACTTTTTCATAGTCGGGTGCATCATCACTTTTGTTTTCCGAGTGAGCGAAGGCATTAAAAAAAACGTTATTTAGATTGATTTTAAAACCAATGGAATGTTGATCAATAAAGGTTTATTTATCGAGATCTTTCTGCTCTTAGACGTCCTGTAAACATAATCTGAAACTAAAGATTTCAATTTTGAAAAATTCATTGTCCTTCCATAACTTGCTATAATCTCACAGTGAAGGAGAAAAATTCATTATGTGACTCGTTTTCAATTTGACATTTCTTTACATTTATCGAAATCTCTACCAACTCGCTTTTCGCATTCAGTTTCCTTATCATACAACATCATAGTTGTCACGACTACCAAGATCAATCAAATAACGCGGCTTTCTCGACAAAATCCATTTGTCGAAAAGGTGTTTCTCAGGGATTTTAACTAAGTAAAAAGATCCGTCTTCAGAGTTTTCTACATGTTCTGTCACAATGACTGTTTTTGGTGGTTATCTAGTTAGCTGTCTGCATTTTCAGGGATAGAACCATCTTTTGTGTTACGTGGGATTAAAGATTGATTTGTAGACTTTTCCACTATTGTAAACAGAATATTTTCCTATTAATGCTCTTTGCTGAATTTTTGTCGGAATTACTAATATTATAAAGGGCTTTCAACAATGTATTTGACCACGTGTTGTCTTAGAGGCCGAACGATATTCTTTTCTTCGCATATAATGTTAAAGCAGTTTTAAAATTGCATATATAATACTTCGACGGATCTATCTATACTAAAAAGGTGAAGTAATGTCTATCGAAAACGAAAGAATGCGATAGGTGACGAAATAAAAAGTGCCGATTTCTTCAAAGTTAAACGTTAGGACAAATAACTTGAAAATTGACCAAAACGCAAAGAACAGTTTAATAAACAGTCCCAATCCTCGAAAAACTTGTTTGTAGATAGAATATTCACAGTCCAAGCTAAGTTTGAGATTTGAATAGTCGATTTATTATCATCGATCATCGCGTTGTCAGATAAGTTTGCTGTCATAGACATTATTATAATTACTCTCACATACCGTGACTCACACAAGAAGAAGAAGAGAAAAAGTGTTTAATAGAATAAAGTGATGCAGAGTGATGCATGATTGATTATGATTGGTTAAACTAGAATTTCCCTCACCGTCACTTAGAAAGGTATCACTTTAAAAAATTGCTTCCAAAAATTTTACGCATCTAACTTTTTCAATTTTCTCAGTTTCTGGACAATAAACTAGATAGGCTGGACTTCTCCGGCGTTTTGCCCATAAGAAAAACAAACAGACTCAAATATATGCATTTTACTTAGGTTAGGCCTAAAGCTAGTCATTGCTTCTATCATTAAAACACCTGTTTTTATGTAAGCAGATGTCACGACAGCATACGTCAACATCATTTTAGCAATAAACATCTTGCCATATTAAATAGACATGACCAAGCCCTTTTCACGGTTCCGTTTTGGTGTGGCGAATAAATAAGGTGCACATGTCTCATGCACTAATTTGTTTTCACGAAGAAGTGAAATGTCTAATGCTTCCTTTACCCTCTTGTCGGGGGTTTTATTTCTTAACTGAGTCATCTTGCCTTGTGTGCATATCTTACATTCCGGTTCGTCATGGTTTGTACTTTGCTTACCCTCTACAACATTTACGAACATCATCATAATTACAGAGACCGAGTATTTTGTGTCATTCTGAAAATGAAATCACATTATTTCTTGAAGAAGAAATACTTTTAATATTTAAATATGACAAGCGCCCTTTTTGCTCAATGTTATAAATTTTTGCAAACCGAGGTCCTAAATTCATTTTCTTTATTAGTTAGACTTACGTTTCCACCTTGTTCTACTACAGCGCAGACAGAAAAAATGTCCTGCTCGTAGAATGGGATATAAAGAATATTTCTTAAAATTCTGTCATGTGCCGTGCCTCTTATATCAAAAAATTTAACCAGATGAGTTTTGATTCTTTCCTTGGTTTTCTCTACCTGCATCCTGCAAACTCTTTGCTGATCCTTCTTGCTGCGACAGTCAGAGGCGTAACTAGTACTTTAATTGGGGAGCGGGGCATATTCATATATTCCGTTGTGCCCCACTGATTTCTTTTGAAATTGAATTGAATTTCAAAAGAAATCAGTAGGGCACAACAGAATATATGAATATACACCCCCCCAGTTAGCGTTCTAGTTACGCCTCTGGCGATAGTCCTTCGTATCATGTGTCTTGCTTTTACAGTGTGCAGACCATTTTGCCAACGTTGACCTTTTTATCACATTTTAAGCAGTTCCCTTCGAATCTCTCTCATGACTTTTCGTTACCTCTGATGATCATAATATTATCGCCTTTCTCAACGTTCTTCATCAGTATCGTCGATCAGTTCAGTGTAAATTGCGACAATCCGAGGCTTTTCCTTGCCCTGATAATGTTGTCTCAACACTTTCAACGCTCTTTGCCGGTCGCCTCTTGCTGTTCTTATAACCAAAGATAGACTTCTGTCATCCACCTTCGCAAAGGCGTCCGCTTTCTATGCTACAGTTACCTCTGTATCACTGTTTCCCGGTATAAATACATCATACAGTTTTTGGAGTCTCATTTGCGCCAAAGATTTGACTTCCCACAGTTCGCACTCATTTTCGTCTCCAGTAAATAATACTCTTCTGGGCACATAACCTGTTAAGTTTGCTGTCGCAGACATTATTATAATTATTCTGACACACCATTACTCACACGAGAATAAGAAGAATTATTTAATGGAATAAAGTGTTGTATCTATATACATGAGATAGTTGATTTTGATTGGTTGAATTATTACAGTGCTATAATTAAATATTATAAGAAAGAATGTTTTATGCAGTGCGGTGTTTGAAATTAAATGTAGATCTGATCTTCGCACTTTGTTGGATAATTTAAGCAATTGTCCTAGTCACCTGAATTTTCAGGTTCATGAGACAATTGCTTAAATTGTCCAACAAAGTGCGAAGATCATATCTACATTTAATAATTAAATATTGTCCATCGGAAGATATCGCGAACCCATACTGCATAGGAAGATAGTATATCCGTTTGTCATCAAAGGAAGGTAACACTTAACAGTATTACTGTTTACAATGTTACATATATTACAGCATTATTAACATTTTCAACCATTATTGAGACCTTTTTCTTCATAGAGACCAGGAAAAAATGCGTATGGAGGTTTGTTTTTGATACTGTCGAATCAAGAGGGAAATGCACTTAGATAACAAATATTAAGGTAAATGATTTGGACCCGAGAGTATCGTTACATGTTTGTAGATGTAGATCGTCCAGGTTAGTATAGTCCTGAGAAGGACTGTTTTTGTTGATGTTGACTGATATAGCGGTAGTCATCTTCAGAGTCAAGTTACTCAAAATTAACACAAACAGTCCTTCTCAGAACTCTACTAACCTGGACGATCTACATCTACAAACATGTAACGATACTCCCAAGTTTAAAATATTCACTTTATTTTGAATATTTTATTAAAAATGTGGAAGTTGTCAACAGCTGAAGTTAGGTACATGAAGAAATCAGGAGAATAATTTCAATCACACCTTTGATGTGAGGTATCGTTGCTGTTGTCATTGAGTTGTTCGTTTCGTTGGGTTCGTTGGGATTGTAAGTGTTGCGTTTGATAAAGTCAGAGTTATAGTTGTTTTTATCTAAACAACGTTTGAGATGGTTGTTTTCGTTGTGTAGAGGGTCTGGTGAATCACATATGATTTGTGCACGTCTTGTTGATGTTCTGAGTGTGGTGGCTTTGTGTGATGTAGGGTTGTAAGATGATTGGTCTAGTAGTCGTTCAGTTTGCGATAAACTGTTGTTCGTAGTTTTTGATTGTCATGTTTTACCAAACAGTCGAGAAAAGAAAGAGTTCCGTTTTCTTCGACATCTTTGGTAAATTGTATGTGGCTGTTCTTTTTGTTGATGTGAGTGTGATAGTCATCAATCTCGTCTGCATGTAGTGCTGTGATTGTGTCATCTACGTAGCGGAACCAAAAAGGTAGTGCATGTTTGTAAGTCGTTAGTGCCCGTTCCTCTAAAGATTGCATCACAATTTCAGCAACTACAACAGAAACGGGTGAGCCCATAGCTGTTCCATGTAATTGTTTGTAGTGTGTACCTTTGTGCTGGAAGTAAGTCGAGGTGAGGCAGAACTCCAGTAGCTCCATAATGTCTTCTGTCGGTAATAACAAATATTGTCCGAAAAATTGTGAAGCTCTGTTTCTGCGTCACGCCTCTTCCAAAAAAGACTAACTTATTTTGTGTATGTTGATTTCGATTATTTTTATTTGGATATGCACATTCCATTGAGTTTTTTTCATAAGGTCAATGCTACTTAGTGCATAGGGAGAAACTAGAACGTTCAGGGGGGGGAGGGAATATTCATTTATTTAGTTATGCTTGACTGATTTAATTTGTTAGTGATTATAATTTAAAAGGAAATTAGCAGGGCTGAGCTGAATTTATTAATATTCATCCACCAGTCAGTTAACGTTCTAATTTCCCCCTGCTTAGGCGATATCAACCTATTTGAGAACAAAGGTATATCTTCAGTCAATGTAGTTCCAGGTCCCCAGTGTTAAACGATCGTTCTGTAGAATATGACAAGGCTTGGAACCTGGAATGGTTGGAAAGACGCCGCACTATCACTGTAGCACTGCAGGCAGAAATAAGTTAAATATGTGCACAAAATTGCATCATATATTATTAATCTATAAACATAAGTTTTGTCAAAGAAAATGAAATAGTCGATAAAATCAAAGAAATTTCAAGATAAATATTTGACATTTCTTATATGAAGTAACGCTGTTTATCGAGTCATAATTTACCGCCGACTCCGGTCTCATGTGTACGTGGCCATTAAAATTTAACAAAGATGTAAAGTTATGTTACATGTGTTGGTTGACTCCATAAAGAGAATGTGTCTTTGATTATTTTGCTGGTTCTCCTACCTTCGAAAAGATGTTGCCGATAACGGATTATCAAAGTAAGTACGCTAGAGCATATAAACTAAGCAGTATTTGTTACTGTGATGCTGGAGTAAATAGTGGAAGCATAAATGCAGACTCTACAGTACTTAGAATGGAATGTTGAAATGTTTCTTTTTATAATGCTCACCGTTTCTTTTTAATAATCAATAATAATGTATCTTTAAAATAGTTGGCACAAATCCAGTCATGCTTTATAATTCTTTCAATTAATCGTCTTCTAAAACTTCCGAAGAAAACTATATTAAAATGGTTACAATGATGGTGTAAAACTTGTTCACCTATGCAAAAAAATATGAAAATTTAGACATTTCTAATGTTTGGAAGATATGTGGTTACCTACATATAGATATCTTAAAGACAGTCCAATTTTATATTACAAACATCTCTAACTTTAGTAGAGTTGTATACAACTGTAAAAGCATTGTTGCTGTGAGCTGTAGGACTAATCCTAACACTGTGGTACTGGTTGGAACCCATGACTATATTCATCTCAATTACATTGCTTTTGTCACCAGAAGTCTCATGCAGTTGGGATGCATATGTATTTGTTTGTTTTTGTTACCATATCATCAATAAATAAAGAACAACACAGCATAGTTATATAAGGCTGCAGTGTGTCTTTCATCACTGCATTTGGCTTAAAACTTACTTTGAATATGGAGAAATCATGACATTTTGTTTGTCAATCTTCTCAGACTATTCAACATTTCTAAATGTAAACCTTGGGTGATAACCATGCATGCTTGTCTTGTTTACAGCATCAATGTTGTGAATATAATGCAGATTTTATTTGATTTTACTGATAATATGGACACAATTAAAAATGCCTTCAATTTGTTCTAGTCAATTTACTTTCCGATTCATTAGATTAAATGCCATTGCTAGTAATAGCAGAAAGATTGATAATTTGGGGGTGACAAAATTCACATGTTCATGTTGTATGTTTTATAATTACAATAGATTTCAATGGAAACTAATAAAGTATAACATGTATATATGAATATTAGTCTCCTTCCTCCAATTTTCAATCTTTTGTTACTCTTGCATACAAGTTCAAGCAATTTGAAAAGGTAGACTTTGAACATGTTAAAGGGAAAATTTTATGTCAATCTTGCTAGTCTAATGCTTTAAATATTTATATCACTGTCAAGAGAGTTTAAGAGACATAACAACATGGTTGATGTATGTCAGTCAGGCTTTAAGTATACAATAGGAACGAAATAATCACAAAGTCGATTACTTAAATCATTTACCATTCTTTTTCCATGTTTGACTCTCCTTGAGTATCCTTACCAAAAGAAAATAATGGGGAACATACCTGCGTAATTTCTATTTATCACTTCTAGCTTTGGTTCTCTCATTAAAAGGGCTCCTTATTTTAATTATGAAGATTTAAGGTTTAGCCCTCACACTTATTTTGCTCTGCTATCAAACATGAATTAAGACTCAATGCTGATATCTTTTATATGAGTTTCTTACGTTTACCGTAACAAGAAAGATTTAAGAACAGAAGACTTTAACTATTTTTGTATTATTATTAAATTAAAGAAAGCTATTTAACTTAAATTAGAATGTAACTATATAATAACAATGAGTCAGCATGATAAAGCTAACTAATGAGTATGACGTTATCTTAACGTCATAAGCTCTTTCGTAACATTTAATAACCTAACTTGATTGGTAGTATCATGTGTGTGTGAAGTATTTGTTATTTTCCTGGCATTTGTTAAAGTACAATGATTCTGTAAAATTGATGAATAGAAAACTCTGAGGAGTAGCCAATCTCTTAATTATTACATATTGGAAAGATATATTAGAAGATTATGGTAACTCAAGTTAAAAGCAGACAGTATCAACTATGCAACGTTATAAATGTTATATAAAAAACACTTTTATATCGGTTGATATTTTTAAACTTTACAATTCTATGTATGGTGTTGTGTTTTATACATTGATAGCATCTTTAATATATTAATGCCAATGCGGTAATGCCAATTGTATGTACAGCATGGCAAAGAAAAAACTTAGTTATAAAAAAATTTGTTGTGAAGCGTGAAGCTTGTGCGTAATTCGTGTTTGCTGTATGGAATGTAAATGTTCGTTACAAAATTACACGAGAGCAATTGTACTCCTTGAAAAAACACGGAGTGTAATGTCCCTCGCTGTAGATATAAATGTTGTAGAGTATTTTAAGTTAGGAACAATGTCAGAAGGAAGATTTAATTTCAAGCAGTGGGAAAAGGGAAATTAAAACGTAAGCATAATTACTCTGAGTTGTCCTTTTTATGTGCATTTTATTTTATAAAAAATAGGATGTCCAACACTACGCTGAGGTTCTGCGACAAAAATGTTAGTGTCAAAATCTATCTCTAAGCCCTACAATATCTCTAAGTTTATCTTTTCATACACCTCATACAACCATAGTTTTTTACCCAGCTTTTGTGGAGGATGAGAACAAGAGTGTTGGTTTGAGAAATAAGAGGTTAGCTTTAATTACGTGAGATAAAGAGTTAGAGTTTTTTGACAGATTCTCACTAGAGTAGAGTAAATTTTTGCGATATTGGCTTCGCTATTGAGAGCTATAAATTACTTACTGTATTTGAAATCATTTAAAATTTTTGTGCGTTCTGCAGCCAAAGTACAATAGCAATACACCGCGTGAGAATTAAATATCTTGTTGATCTTTTAAATTGCAAAACTAGAACTTATTAAATTGGGGGTAATGAACATAAACGCCCCAGCATATTATCCAATAAAAACACAATATTTTTTCTTGTATTTACTGCGGTGTTTCCTGGTCGTTTCAAATAGAGTGTTATGTTTGAAAACGAACTCGTAAAACTATTATCATGAGAGAAAGTCGATTAAAATCAGCGATTGAAACACTTTTGTTGCTAACAAATGTGTGGAAATTTTGTAACATGTGTATGAATGAGGAGGAAACAGTTGACATTAAGTCATGGTCAAAATACCGAGAATGAATGATTCATTTATGTGTATATTACAGTTAATGAAAATGTTAAATTATGATACTTAATTTGTTTTGTTTGTATGTAATAGGCTAGCTAGCTACGCTACAGCAAACGCAGAAATTGAGTTTTTATCTGAAAATGACCCATTTTGACATTCAATGCCACGCTTTTTTCTTTTCACAGAAATTGGAATTGGTGTGACAGGATTTGGTCTGTTTTTTCTATTCTTTGGTGTGATATTCTTCTTTGACAAAGGTCTGCTTGCCATTGGAAATGTAAGTTTTAGGCTACTTTGTGAACATTTTTTTTATACTTATAAGACATGCGCGGTTGGGCTCTTATCTTATGATATGTTTCTTTCTATTACCTTTTCTGAGTTGAAGCGTTCGCACTTGTGATGTTTGGCATCTTCTTAAGACGTTAATGTCCTTGTAATTAGATTGGCTATTTACCATATCATGATGTTAATGTTGATGAAAAATTATTTGTCTAGTTATGACGTCACGTTTTCTTTCTATATTTTGCGCATTGTTATGAGCCAATCGGGTAATGTGCAGAATGATAAAGAATCAGAAGAGACATTCTTGTGAAATTTTCTTACTAAAAAACTCATTGGCGTAAACGGGACAAAATACTCATTCTAAAATATAATTTTGTACCTTAAACGTCGTAACAATTCTTGACTTTGAAGAGTCTCATTTAATATTTAATTGATTCAGCATCAGCATTCAACATTCAGCATCATTGAATTTTAGACCATTTGTAAGTAACTCTGGATTGTATGACTTCTCCGACATTCAGAACCCGTGGGATTTATTGAGCCTTCATGAGGATCTGGTGTTTTAGGCACCAATCCATAAGTCTCCTGCCAAACATGCCAGAGCGAGAAATCCCCCCTCCCACATGTTGTTTATGTAATTGGCCGTTTTTATGTTGTCTATTAGCAGACAAACCTTCATTTGGACTTTGCCTTTTGCGAACGTTTGAATGGCAAAGCCCTATCCTAGTAGTTCTAGGCAATTGATATGAAGCAGTGGCTTCCCACGGTCGATACTCCCATAAAATGTGCACCTAAGCCTTTGTGACAAGCATCGGCTTGGACTATAAGATCTGGCAATCTGGGCACAAAGCCTTACAATTCTATGTCTCTTGGCTGTGTCGCCAAAAAACCAGTTCCTCTAGTGCTAGAGGGGAGAATGCTACCTGCAAGCTGCATAACTGACTGAAAGAGAATGCCTTGTTTTTTAATTGTTCTAAGTGGCGGAAGTGAAGGGGGCTGGAATGGCTGCTTGTATAGTGGAGGCCAGGAGACTTCAGCCCCAAAGAAAGACTCTATAGCCCCCAGGCATTTCCTCTTTACCTTCCTTATCATGTCTTCTGCCAAGATCATTGAATTGACTAGAAACCCTAGAAACTCCATTTCTGTTGTTTCCATTGAATTGACTAGAAACCCTAGAAACTCCATTTCTGTTTATGGAATTTGAAGTGAGATGTCAAGACAAAAGATAATGCAAATTTAGCTACTAAGAAGTCGTTTTTGAATAAAATTTACATAATTTTATTACGTTTTCGGCTCGTTCCATTTTAGTCAAACATTTCCACGTTTTACCAGTCTACCAGATGATACTAAACTTGTAAGCTACCGGCTTCAAAAAACATTTCTCAAGAAATGTACTTTCTGCCATGTTTAATTGGAACCATCGCGTTTGTAAAGCATACAATACAATAAAAAGTTGAATTTGCATTTAGTTTGCAGTGATGACTGGCATTTAGAAGGCTTGTTGGGCTAAATTTTAAAAAAAAGGTGCATTTCCCATCGGCGGAAAACTGTGATTTTTATTAAATTTATTTGTTGAAGAATTACTCCTTCGTTTTGCAACTGAAAGATTCGTACAACATGTCACTTGAAAGTTAAATAAATGGACTTAACAAAGGTGCAAAAACCAAACGACTTTTCCAGCCGAGCGTTAGCGAGGCAGCTCACTATTCTTGACAGTCAATTCACTCGACCCAGTCCTTTTCCGCGACCTATATATTGGTGAAATCTCGATTTAGCCTCAAATCTTTGAAGGAGGAAGCTACGGCCTTACTGTTCAATGGCCTTGCAAAATTCACTAGGCGAACCTACTTGGCAACGCAACGCAGTTTCTTGCAGTTCAGTTACTGGAGCGGCACATTCATCCGAATGCATGGGTCGTCTTTGCCAACGTTCAAATTCACGCTAATCTTATTTGTCACTAAACTGTCTATAAGACACTGAAAGCTAGCTCTATTAGAGTTTACTTGTCTGGCGTTGGGGTCTACATATCGAAAATGGTTTTAATAATCTACCGAAGGCCTGCCCCCGATTAGAACTTGTGCTTTGAGAAGTGAAACGATGTCAAGGCTCTGGTACCCGTACCTGGTTGCCGATCACAACTGCAATAATGAACCGCCTTGATTTTGAAATGTACTTCGAGATGTGATGTTTTGAGCAGCCTGCAGCGTTGGATTTTTTAGTTACCTTAGATCGGGCGAATTCATCACCAATTCCCCCTACGATCCGGGAATGCATGCAACTATCGTTAGAGGATCAGATTGCGAGCTAAATTTAACAACACTGCTTTAAACTTAAAAGCGTCTAAGACGGACCAATTTCGTGAAAGACAGGTCGTTTGTATCGGCAAAGCTAACTGTGGGTTATGTGCGGTAAGAGCAGTTACGCGATACCTCAACATCCAAGGGCCTATCCGGCATCCGCGGGCTGTTGTTCATACACGAATGTAGTAGTCCGCTAACACGTGAAGACTTTGTTTTCTGTATTCGTGATGCTCTCGCTCGTATCGAGATACACGGTAACTTTTCAGGTCGTATAGCTTTAGAATCGATGCTACAACTAGCGTTACGAAAGCAGGGCTGCTAGACCACAAAACAATGGGACGATGGCTTAGTGATGCCTATATATTGTACATTCCAATGTCATCGGCAGCATAGCTTCATGTTTAACACTGCTAGATTCTTCAAGGCACATAATCGTTGAGGGACACCTAACATCTACTTATTGTAACTCAAATTACATGTAGCGGTAAACTTTATATTATATGTGTTACAATTTTACCTACTGATCTATACTAAGTAAGTATACTCTGTCTGAGGATGACTTTGAAATAAAGTCGAAAATTTACAGTTTACTTCTCGTCTTGTTTTGATTCATATTTTGCAATCTCAAGATGTCTTTCTTCTTCGGAATTTGTTTTAAATTATAAGTAAGTATATAATTGTAGTGCTTTGGTTCTGGGACAATAAACAGTTAAAAAAGCACATGATTAAAGCGCATTGCTCGCCCAGATTCGTTAATAGATAGTCAGAAGTTTAGCTGGAAAGGGGGTTGACCCATGCGTTGAACAATTTACCAAATGGTTAATAGACATGGCTGAAGCGATTGCATTAGGATATATAGTAGTAAGCTGAAAGCAAAATTGATTGAAGTGCAAAATGTTGTTGCTGTTGTTGTTGTTGTTGTTGTCGTTGTTGTTGTTGTTGTTGTTGTTGTTGTTGTTGTTCTCTATCTATTTCTCTCTATCGTTGTTTCGACCATATTGGTGTTAAGGTTTTAGTTGAGGTGGGTGGTCAGCTTAGAATGCCAGAAACATGAATCCTAATCTCGACGCAAGGAACAGTTTTGGTGAATTAGGTGTTAAAGGGAACTCCACCCTCACATAATGTTGGTCTTAAAAGTTCCATTTTTATGCAAAGGTTACTATATTTTGAAATTTTTACATCAGCTATTTTATTTTTGACAAAATCACGTCTTCAAGTGCGCTATTTGAGCTGTTTTGAGGTTTAGCAGCGTGGGCACAGAAAGCGTCAGCGGAAATTATTTTGACGTCATATCGTCAAACCGATTTGGAGTTGTGTTAACAACAAAGTAAAATAATAACGCACAGCCTTGCACAAAAAACAAAACAACCGCTTATAATGGCTTTTTTGGAAGAACCTCGGCCTAATTCACCAATCGATAGTGAAATGGAAGACAATCCAGCAAACAATATTCGGCCATATCAGTTTGAGCCCGAATGGCCGGCTGATGAACACAAAGAAGCTCACCAGTTTGAGGACAACGAAGAACAGGAATTTGTGTATATTGAGGATGAACCTCGGCGCGACAATCTTAAATCGTGGGTAATAAAATGTTATATTATTTTAGACCATTAATTAGATCTCGAAAGAACGTTTTCAGTTTTTGAAGTTGACCACGTCCACACACACATAATACTTCAGATTTTAAGTTTATATTGTAAGATACAATCTATATTGAAATTTAGACATTTACTTTTCAAGATCCTTTCTTTTAACATATTCAGGTGTCAATGTGGTAACTGCCAAATAATGGACAATAACGAGAAATGTTTATGCTGCAAAGAGATTTCCAATATTTGTGACAAAAATGTAGAGGCAGTAGAAATGAATGAGACCACCGAAGTCCCTTTGTGCATTACACAACATCCTGGTTTTGAGCCGGTTTGTCTTATCATGTTGGTTTTACAAACAGCTTGGTACCTGTACAAGCAGCAATATGAGGTAGCATATGATGGGCCCGAAGACAAACTGTACCGCCATATTGCATATAGACAGTTGACAAGATGGTGCTGGGGTATCTTGGGTAGAGAAGTAAGAGTCGTCTTGCCATCATGTGCAGTTACTTGCATTAGAGAAACATTTCCTCCACCTGGCCCTGCAGAGGAATTTCAATTTGAAGGCTTCCACTATGTTGATTTTGCTATGTTAATATTTAAGAATGAATGTACAAAAGTTGTCTTCACTGATTCAACATCATATTATATGGGCATGGCAAAACCTAGCATCACCACTGACATTTTATGCAAATCTAGACTGATGTTCCTTTACAAGTACTTCTTTCCTGGGTGGACATGATTTAGAAATGTTCTTTGGAAGATTCTCGCCATGATGTACAAGTTCAATCTCCTCAGTTTTGCATGCATTCACAACCTCGGCAAGTAGTTTATAAATGTACTGGTACTCTTTCTTTTCTTTCATTGCTTTTACAACCCATTGCTTCTTTGTTTTAGCAAAAATCATTTTGTAACGGTCTTGCCCTTTGTTTGTCCCTGACTTAATGACTGCTTTACCACGGTTAATATTGTTGTTGTGATCTAATGCTGCTAACTGAGTGCGGGCTACCATTCCACGAAATGAAAAATGCTCTCACTTTGGGCAGTATTTCAGTAAAAGGGAATGGTAAACCTCCAACTCTCCTGTGTGACAAAACTCAGATAGCTTCCACAGGTCTTTTAGAAGCCTCTTGTCACAAATCACCTTCTCTGCAGCAATATATGCTTGTGAAGTAGGAGATTACCACTTCTTCTGCTTGTTTATCTTTCTGTTAATTGTTGGTGGCAATATTGATGAAAATATGTGTTCCCTCTCCAGAAATGCTTGTTATTGGTTAAGGATAGACTTCTAATTTTCCACCAATTCTTCTGCATTCTTGTTACAACTTGCAGAGCACCACCAAAGATGATTAGAAATGGACTTAATCCAATGGGTCAAGTCATCGTTTCCCTTAATGTTAGACTTTGTTTGTTTTTTTTGTGACAGATTTAGACAAATGCCAAACATTTTGGTGATCAATATGAGGGTTTGTTTTTCATAGCACTGGCAATTTTTGTCCCAAATGGGACTTAAAAAAGGGAAATTATGTACAAATAATTAGGAAACTATAAGTTCATACTTTACGTCAAGGAAACTACACCTAAATTCTATGCACGAAAGGCTAATTTTACAATGGTTTTATGTAGGATTATTTTCTAACCATAATGAATCTAAATTGCGCAACCATGTTTTATTATTATTCAATATTTATTCATGGCAATAGACTGGTTTCACATCAGTAGAAACTGTTGTTAGGGTTGAATTCGGAGGACAAGCAAACGAAGCAAACGGCATTACACCACAGTTTCCACACAAATTAACCTTTGTATTTTTTAAAAAATAATATTAATCGACATTCAAATTCTATATGTAGTGGGAAACTGTGCGATAATGGCCTTTATGGATGTGAAATCGTTCTATTAAAACAGAATACAAATAACCAGCTCAATATTTGCATGTAAGCTATAAAAGTTGTTTGTGTTTATACTTATGAATAAAAAATTCTGACGAAACATTTTGTGATTAGGAGAAGCATTTTGACGCAAGTTTGTGCAATGACGCAATTAGGAGAAGCATTTTGACGCAAGACTGTGCAATGACTTTACATAGAGCTTTGAGCAGCAATTGACGATATGACGTCAAATACAAGCCGCTGACATATTCCGCTCCCACGCACCGGATGCCCTAGCTACAACATTTCAACTCTTTTTTTGTGAAAATATTGAATCAAACAAACAAAAAAATTGCCGCATATTTATTTTCACGGGACAGACAATGTTTTAAGACCAACATTGTGTGAGGGTGGAGTTCCCCTTTAATGAAATCACTTAATTACGACATACTCATAAACGAAATACTCATAAAGCTAGTCTTCTTATAAAGATAGCTTACTTCCCTTCAAGAAGAAATATTTTTAATCTTCATAATCCGTTTTCGCCAAACATTTGTATTGAACGTCTTTCATTTACTACCCAACAACATGAAAACGCTAGTTTCCAGCCATGGAGGGTGAGATCGAAAACTTCAAATAAGTGTCCTTTCTTGTTAGTTACCTCATCTGTGAAAAAGCTAGAAACAAAAGCTATTTATTATGGCAATGTTAAGTTATTGTTTGTGCTTGTCTATAATTTCTTAGGACTTAGGATGCACTAAAGTGTGATTACAGTATAAGCTGCGAACGTTGAATCGTTCTTTACTTAGAAATCCGTTGAGAATAAAAGATTTATGGTCTTGAATAAGTTCTATAAGGTCTAGAATAAACTATCTTAAGTTTTTAATGATTTGAAATGTTTGACGTTTAGAAATTGAGCAATGTGCTAGTTATATATACACTTTTGTTTTACATGAAGTAACCAGAAGATGAAGAAATATTATCTATGACTTTTTCTTACTCTAGATTCTTTTCATATCTGGACTGACATTAGTCATTGGTCTGGAAAGGACATTTAGATTTTTTTTTCAAAGACACAAACTGAAAGGTAGCGCTTTCTTCATTGGTGGCATTTTTGTAGTTTTGATTGGTTGGCCTATGGTGGGAATGGCCCTGGAGTCTTACGGTTTTATTCTATTGTTTGGGTAAGTGGTTATGACTTCATCGTGAACTGAAATAATGAATAATTATTTGCTAAGCTGAGCCTGGTGTTTAGCTGTTTTTTCGTCTTTAGATCCTCGCCAAAAAGAGCATTTTGTTTTTTATTTTCATTGCTATCTACTTTAATGAGATGTGCTATTATATCTTATACAGCTAATGCATTCTGTAGAATTAAAGTTTTTACAAAAAAGCATGATTTTAAGAGCTAGTTTATCATTTTTGGCTCGTCACTCCGTTTTCAACCCGCTTGTTTTAAAAAGAAAATGCTTTTTGTGCGATTTATAATAATTCCCTTTGCTCAACTTCTGACTCCATAGCTTCCATCTTCATCGCACTGACATGCTCAAATTATTTGTCAAGTTTAAAGGTTAAAAAAGTACTACCAATGTTTTAATCACGTTATATACAAATTGCAAATTCAGTTTTTTTCTGCCCGACTAAAGTTCACTTCCGAGTTTTTTGTTGGTGAAAAATTAGTGGTTTTGGTGACAATTTGAATACGAGCAAATTTATGAAAGAAATTTTTCTTATATTACTCTGACAAGATCGTTATATAGCAGCAACTGCGATCGAACGGAGCTTTCAAAGAAATGCAATTTAGAATTCGTCATTAATGTGCTACCCTCTCATTAAAATAGGTACGCAGTGTGTTCTTGCGCGTAGCGTTGACCACAGTTACACTATACGGAACAAACAAAAGTCAGTACTCCCACTTTACTGTGCAACTTGGTGCTGTATTTTTCATTAAATAGATAACTGGCTGCAGCCAGCCATCTTAACATTCTTATTGTTTAAATAATACATTTTGCTTTGCTGCACCACGTCAGTCACATGGGCAATAAGATATTTGCCACTTCATACCACTTCAATTAGAGTGGGACTATTGTTTCTTACTTTACTGTGGCTTTGAGTTGAACTTAGTTTTAATTATACAGTACAGAAATCATAAAAACATGTATAGTGAAGTCCTAACGACACACAGAGACGGACACTTTTTCACTACAACATAGTGGGTAGCCTGCGAACAAACTACTCACAAAAACTATTGTGTTTCATTTATGTGTCTTAGGAAGCAATTAAGTTGACTTTAAAACTTATCTTCAATCTTGACATGTTTGTTTCATATCACTGTAATGTTCACTATGTGATGTTAGTATATTTGACTTTTTAAGGGGATTTCTTCCAGTAGTCGTTAACTTTCTAAGAAGAGTACCATTTATTGGTAACATATTAAATATACCTGGAATAAGTTCGGTAAGTACAAGATACAATTATATTACATGGGTGTAATTCTAGAATAGAAATGCAACTTTAAATATCTTGAAAATCAGTTTTAACTTATAATTGCCAGTGTGCATTCGTAATGTGCAGTAAAACGTTCACTGATATAAAATTTTTATTGAACAAGCTTTCGGCTGTCTGTCTACAGCCTTCGACGTGTTATAAAAGAAAAAAAAATAGGCTGTAGACATTCAGCCGAAAGCTTGTTCAAAAAAATTTTATATCAGTGAACGTTTTACTGCATTATGTATAATCCTGATATCGGATCACGCATTTTTCTCTATTCGTAATGTTGACAAAATTTCATAGCAGACATGTTTGAATAAATAAAGTATCGTACGAGCCACATATGCAAAATAATGTAGATAGGTAAATGAATACATAAATAGATAGATAGATTTTTTATTTCACATATTAATATTGCAGCCATAAGTGGCTGAATTACACCAATGTTGATTAGTTTGGAAAATATGAAATATGTTTGTGAAGTTTTCATCTTACGCTATTTTCAAATATAATTTTCTTGAAAGCATTAATTGGAAAAATGAAAAAAAAACAGAGAACGTTTATTGTATTTATATTATTATGAGTTCATTAGGATATCACCAATGAGAAGCTCAATATTTTTTGTCATATTCTTTGTTGCAATCGGAACAAAGCGAAAAAAGGTTTGATTGTAAAATGTCCCAACAGACAAATTACAAAAAGTGCTCCTTGGAAAAATTGGTGCTTGAGAAAACGTTAAAAAAATTTGTTTTGCATTTTATATTAAAACATATATTCAAGTTTGATTTTAACAATTAAACTTTTCCGTTATAGGTCGTCAACAAGATTGCTGGAGATCCGTCAAATTCCATGGTTTAATATGTTTTTAAAATTACATGATAAAGATCGAGGGTTCTCAGTCCAGTATTCTGATTATAACAACATGTCTCGGGTAAAAATCCCGTATAGATCTGTCACAAATATAAAAAGCACGTGATACGTAGATTAATATATGACATGCTAAGAAAATTATGCAAAATAGTCAAGTATATCCGCCTAACTTGGATATTTTGGAGTAGCTTAGCCAGCCCACAAATTTGTCGTGCTATGTAGATTTTTGATCATTAGCAATATTCGTTTCTTAAGAATTTTTTTCACACTGATTGAACACCAACTAAGTTATGCATGAATTAACTTAGGGGCTGACTACGCCACTGGTCTTAATATAAAAACAACTCTAGCTTTGTTGATGTAAATTATTTTGTATTATGCACGTTGTGAGTATAATGGTTACCACAGATTTAGAACTAAACCCACTGCAATTCAAACATCGGAAATCATCCATCACAAGATAGCTTTATTCTATTTGTATTATCAGAATACAAAACACGTTTTAGACCTACCTTTAAGAGTCCACCTTTTCTTGACTGAACGTGCCTACGAAATGAATAAAATTGTGATTTGATAAAATGTGATTTTTATTCACTGTTTAGTCAAATAATTCATTAACTGTTTAAGCCTCTCTTTATTTGCCGAACGCTTTTGCTTGTTTGCCTTGGTTTGAGTGCCAGGCACGTTCTCTTACTTTCTCAAATCATTTGAAGTTAAGTCGTTTTGAGTCGATTGTGTGAAAAGTTGCAAGACCATCCATTCTTCTCTCCAAAAGGCTTAGTTTGTACTGTGCTATTGGCTTTTTTATTTTAACGTAGCTAACTGCGTAAAAGCATTATTGATAATGCGCATATAATAAATACGTAGTAACAAAGTTGTAACTTGAATGCGTGTACTGTTCCGCCTTTCGTTTTCGCTGAAATTGAAAAACCATATTGGCAAAAAGCAAATCCGAGTTTTTCTAGTTTTTCATTCGAATAAAAAATCGAGTTAAAATTTTGTTTTTCGTTTTTCGTATTTGACGAAATTCGAAAATTGAGTCCAATTTTCGTTTTATGTTTCTCAACTTGTAGTGCATACACAGACGCTGAAATATAACATAATGCATGCATAGTTGTCTTTACTTTTCCCAAAACATTCAGGGAGTAAGCGTAAAATTAAGGTGTTGTGCAAAGAAATTCGAATCAAATTATATAATGATTGAATAGGCAGTGCATAAGGTATGAAATTTTGATCTTAAAAGTTTCAACCACGAAAAGAATTGAATGTGGGGGGTTTCTGGCAAAAAAAGCGGCTTGTTTTTACTTGTACAGCGTATCAAAACAAAGTGTATCAACTTTAATATCTATAATCTCGTGAATTTCATATTGTATTTTACTTTTGTATTTTTATATAGCAAATAAGATGAACTATCCAATTACTTTTTTATTTCATAACACTTAGAAATGACCAAGTACTCCCTAAATAAAAATTGTAAGTCAAAATTCCTTTTTTCATCATTGGGAAGTGACTGCTGCATGATTAACGATGTATCATTACCATTTAAACGAAAGGAAAAAATCAGTGAGTTTTCTCCCGTATCACACCACGCTAGATAATTTTCAAAAAATGCAGGTCCATTTGAGAAGTAACAGTTGAGTTAGAATTTCAACCTTTTGTGTGGATGAAACTTTTAAGATCAAAATTTTATACCTTACGTGCTGCTTGCACTACTTGTTCAGCCATTAGGTCTATGGATGCATCTTTTATGCCCTGTTTTTGATTGGCATCAACCTTCGATAGTGCAAGTTGTAAATCCTCTAGCATTAGGATAATGTTCGTTCAGAAAATCTGAATTCAGGAATTCAGGGCCGGTTGCACGAAGCCTGGATAGCGTTATCCATTTTGATAGCATTTTTTTTAAAACTTTTATAAAACCTTTTAACTAGCAAAAAATATAAAATTCGAACTGAGCAATCACTGAAATAAAATATTGTTTCGAAGCTTACGAAATTTCCTTGTCGTATGAAAAACATTAACACCATTTTTATAAGTTTGAAAATTTTTGCTATCCAATAGATAAAGCTATCCAGGCTTCGTGCAACCGGCCCCAGGAATCTGAAAAGACAGGTAGTCCTTAATAAAATCGACCCAGTGGCTATAAATATAATTTGATTTACTGCTGAATGGTATTTTTTTGCACATAACCTTAAATTTACGTATATTCCTCCTCCCCGATTGTTGTGTTAATAGTAAAGTAAACTGCGTTGTTATAATCCAGCGTCTGTTTACGAACTATAACTTCAGAAACAAAAAACGAAGATTGGATTAATTTTTCGAGTTTCGTCAAACACCAAAAAACGAAACACAAAATTTGAATGGATTTTTGATAGGAAAGAAAAACGAATTTTGGAATTGATTTTGCCAACATGATTTGTTAATTTCAGTGGAAAACGAATGGCGGAATGGTACACGCATTTAATATTATATAACAACAATAATTTATATAATTATGAGTAGATTTTATCTAAATGATACAATGAAATATTGGTTAGAATTATTTAGTGTATTTACAACTGAATATTGTGTTAAAACGAAAAACCTGATCGTTGAGATTAGCGTTAGTTTTGTTAATGTAAATTGCTTCTTTGATTTTAAGTGTAAATGTAGTATCTGAAATGTCGATGATTTTAAAACAAGAGGGAGAATGGTAGTTTTGCATAAAGGGGATTTTATAATATTTCGACAGATAAGTGAGTTTTGTCAGTTTTGATTATTTAGCCATTTGAATTTCTTTTTTGAATTCCAGAGTATGGATTGAACAATATTTACGCTGGTTGAATTTGTATTGAACAGCATTTGTTTAATAGAAATCAGGAGGGAGTGAATGATAAAAAGTTTCAAAGTGGAAGATTTTCATCCAAAATTTCCTATATGCCGCCATGTTTTTATAACCGGTTCCAGACCTCTCTTCCCCTTCAGGTAATGTAATAGAACTCAATGGTCACATACGGCATGCATGTGCAGGCTCGAGTTCCGGCCCTGCTAATTTTGTTTTATTGCGTCAAAGATAAATCTTCTTGCCCAAAATCAATTTGATTTTTTGAGTTTTTTAAGGAAAGCAATAGAAAAAAAATCTATAGTTCGGGTTACGGAGAGTGCCAGGGTTTTAATAGTTAAAGTATTATACTGCCGGACATTTAGTGTTTTGAATTACTTTCCCAGCTGCCGGGCATCTAAACACGGCGAACAAAAAAAGAGATTGGACTTCTCATTTCAGAAGCAATGAGAAGAATGAAAAACGCAAAAAAAAGAGTTCGTTGAAATTACGGGTGATGTGAAAATAAACATGGGCATTATGTTTTTTTGACGAAGTTAAACCTTGTAAAGAGAAATTGTTGCCTGTAATTGTTGAGAAGTCTTCGTCAAAAAACGAGCAGATGAACGCTGCCTTTGCCAAACACTAAGCTCAGTTTCATAATAAAATTAACGACCATGTAAAGTATGTTCTGTATCATCCAGACGAATCAAATATGGATAAATTAAAAAAATTAACAAAGATTTTCTCCTCTACAAACACAAAGCAGGATATGGAAAACTTCTTTTTCGAATTAACTTCTACGTTTTGTCGTGAAGTGACCACATGAATAGGTCGTTGAAATGAATTGTAAAGCATTTGTTTGATTTGAGTGATAGCTACTGGCTTTAAGAATTGCTTGAAAATATTTGGTGTTTTGGAGTTCGTCAGACAACATCCAGCTAAGTCTAGCAGTCTCTTTTAAGACTATGGTGATAATCATTTACGTGCTGAAGCATTGGATGAAATGTTCCACATCAAATTTTCCCCGGAAGGAAGTAACAAGCGTAGTCCAGAAGAAGCTGTGGCTTTTCACTTTTTCCACTTTTTAGATGATGGAAAAAAGATAAGTTTTGGAACTTCAGAAATGAAACTGACGTGACATTGCCAATTCGTGATAAACTACAATTTATCACTAGCAGTGCATCAGTTCCTGCCGTTGGTTTTGACCCTTTGCCTTCAATTTCTTTTTATCTCCCTGAAACTGGGCGTAACTGCAGGACAATACATGAATGTACAAATCAATTTTTGTTGGCTGTAAGTGATTTACTGTTTGTTATGATTCCTTCCAAAAGGAGTTAACATCGTATGTATGTTGATATCCCCAGGCTTTGGTACAGTGTGTATTTTTTGGAGAAATGTGAATATATACTTGGGTTTTACTATTTTCATGAATAGTGGTTTATTTTTTGTTTCTATTCTGTGAAGCATGCTCATTAAATCATTCACTTAGACTACATTTACTCCACTCCGAAGACATTATCATAGTTAATTGTAAGGGGTAAATGAATGTGGGATAATAATTACCCCTATTTCTGGGTAATAATTAGACCAAAAAGTTAGACAAGTTTTCTTACCTTGAAGACAATGTAAACAGAAAATGGGGTGAATCAAAATTGTGTGTAAAAGATACTACCTACGTCTTGGGTAAAACAACACTTAATAAAACAAGAATGGCGGATTTTTAAGAAGTGAACGTAGCGATGCATTCTTATAAATGAGTTAAACTAATTATAAGGGCAGGCGTATTATATGCTACGATGAACTTTATAAGATAAAAACTAATTTTTTGAGAACGAGAGGAGCGTGTGTTCATGTCATGTGGGCATAATACGCAGGCTTTCATGTGTGTTGAAACCGGAATTTTCGTAAAATTGCTTTAATACAACAATGACATGAAAAAGTATTCACCGTTACACTAACAATGCAATTTTTACATGCTACATACATTATATATCTGTAGATATCCACTTTTCAGTGTGAGTTTTATTTCACATTCATCATTAAAACTCGAGTATTCAGAACGAGAAACAAAACAAAACTCTTACTTAGCATGCTAACCGCTTACAGACTCAGGGGCGAAATTTAAGGGGGGTATGGGGGTGGGGGGAACTAACCCCCCAAAAATGTTAACGTTGCAGGGCTAATTACAAAACTAAACACTAGGATACGTGCGAACAGTTATCCACATAATTTGAAAATATAGTTCAGTTTTAATTTAAGCTGGATTTGCACTTCATGGGTAAGAACGGAAAACGATAAACGGAAAACGGTAAACGGTAAACGGTACGCATCAAGGAAACTTGTTGCTCCAAAAATTACCAAGTGTAGTGAATTACCATCGCTCTTTTGTTTGCTTTTAAGAAGTGTTTGTAAGTAAAATTTTTGAAGTTTTTATATCTTAAGTTGAAACACCATACTATATTTTTATTTTTACATCAGTAAACACAAAAACTAAGATAAATTTTGCTGATTTAAATTGATTGAAGCTTTTTAGTAGCTAGTGTTTGTATAGTTTATTTTACAAACAAGGAAAGTCAAGGATGAATGGTAAGTAATAGCAATTATTTAAACAAAAAACCCGAAACCAACAAATGTGTAAATGTGATTGGTATTTATTGATTATAACAGAAAATTCCAAAGTTATCAAGAACAAGAGAAAACGGCCGTATCGGAAAAAAATTAAGTGTTCTGCATGTAACAAAGAAATGTTCAATGATAATTTTTCTAAACATAATAATTCCACTCACAAAGGAAAGGGCAAAATTATCAACATCATTGATCCGTCACAAAAACGACTCTCATTTGCGTCGTGCAATGTAAGTTAAAATTTGTTTTGAAATTCATAAAAGTACAGTAACAAAGGACTTGTTTTATAAAGTCTGTTTTAAACTAATGTTTAGAAAAGTACGACGTCTTTAGAGTCAAGCTGCACCAGCCTTAACGAGATAAATGAAACAGCTGTCGTTGTGTATAAAGAAAAAAACAAAGAGGAGTTGGAGTCATGTGCTGTTTCAGAAAATCCGTTTACTATTGATCCGTTTATTAAGACAACACGTCTGGTACGCATGAAATAGCAGAATTTGAGGCAATGGTAAATGATAATATAAATGAAGAAGTGGAACTTTGTGTGGCTATTGAAGAGCCATTATTTGTTGACGATGACACTTCTGTTAACAGTCACGCAACGAGATTTGTAGCAGTAGAACATAGTTGTTTGCTGAGTGATAATAGTTCAAATGAAGAGGTAGACGTTAAGGTTAAATCATGTAATACTTATTTCATTAGTCTTTTGATTGTTCAGAATAAAAATACGAATCTTTTTTAATACGAATCTTTCAATTGTCATTTATTCATCTGTTAAAAGCAAATTTTTGTATTTAATTTACTGGATGTGTCTTTTTTACAATGTCTTTATACGTTTAGGCTGCACAAAGTGAAAAGTCATCAAACTGCGATTCAGATAACCAAGAAGATATTACATGGATCACTTGTGCAGGACAGTTAAGAGTTCTATCACAACTTATTCATCACATTCTTAATGAAGTGATAATAGATAATGACGGACACGTAAATGTGAAGCGCTTTTCAGAAAAAGTGAAGCACATACCAAAAAAAATACAAGATTTGTCTGTGAAACTGATAAAAAATTGTTCAATTGTCATCAACAAAGCACAGTGAGATGGAATTGAAATTGATTGCCCAGTTTTAGACAAAAGCACTAAAATTACTTCTCGTGATCCAAGCGAAAGGCCACGAGATATGAATGACGATCAAAGAAAGTTTCTCATGCAACAAGGACCCTGTCAACCTAGATTGAAGTCTTTTCCTGTAAATCAAACAAAAGCCAAAAATAAACCTAACAAATTTAATGCATCTTGGTACGACTCTTTCCCTCATCTTGAGTACAGTCGGAAGGAAGATAAAGCATATTGCTTTGTATGCTCATTATTTCCAAGTGGGCCAGGACGAGAAAAAAGTGATCAGGCATGGATAAATGGTGTACGATCATGGAAGAAAATGAGGAGCATTGGTGCAAACAAGAAAGGAAAACTTTATAAACACTTCAGTAGCAAGTCCCATCAAGCTGCTCTGGCTGATTTTGTTCGTTTGATCTGGCCATATTGATGTAATGATGAATGCGAAAATGAAGGAAGTATTGATTCAAGAGAAAGCAGGTGAAGAAAAGAACAAGGAAATTATGTTGATTCAACTTGATGTAGCTCGCACTCTGGCAAGGCAGTCATTGGCATTCAGAGGAGGAGGCGATGACAAGGATGGAAATTTCATTCAGATTGTAAATCTTCTCTCAAGACATTGTTCTGCTCTCAAGCTGTGGCTGGACGATCAGCGCCTCAGGCCATATACAAGCTCAGAGGCACAAAATGAGATGCTTCATTTGCTGGCTCAATCTGAGAGGGATGAAATTCGTGCTGAAATTAAGTCAGCCGGTGTATTTTCTGTGTCTGCAGACACTACACCTGATACATCGAATCAAGACAAGCTTATCGTTGCTGTAAAATATGTCATAAAGATGTCATAAAATCTTTAATGGAAAATGAAATCGATATAGATATGCTTGCATTTCAAACATACGATTTCACAACATCAATGTCTGGACGACTAAATGCTTCTCAAAAAGTGTTGCAAGAAATTTTAAAACGACAAGTGCCTTACATCCCTTGCCAGGGACATCGGTCTAATACATTCAACGAGCATTGTTGCAAACATAGCTCAATAATTTGATCAATGTACGACGCTCTAGAAGACGTATATGTGTTTTTTAGAAAAACAACAAAAAGAAATAAATATATAGAAGAAAGTTGCAAAGATGTTGAAATCAATTTAAAGTTTCGAAACTTGTTAAAGACGAGATGGGTTTACAATTCTGAGTCTGTTGATGCTGTCTTGAGAAGTTATGAGGTAATACCAACTGCTATTGTGAAAGTTATTAATGCTCGAGATGTAGAATCAAAAGTAAAAGCTAAAAGCGATGGAATAAAAAAGAAATTTCTTAGTTTCGACTTTCTTTTTGCTCTTATGTTCATGCAAATCATAATGACAAAAACCAAAATCCTAATCAAACAACTGCAGGAGGAGGAGCTAAATATAGTAAATGCACTTAACCTGATTGATGCTACAGTAAAAAACCTTAGACAAATTCGAAGTGACGAGAACGGATTAGACTCGGAGATAGAGGCAATGGTTGCATTTAGAACCAAAGTAGGAATAGACGTAATGGCAGAATACACTCGTCATCATCGATCAAGAAAGCCACCCAAACGAATTGGCGAGCATTCCGAAATAACAAGAGAAATATCATTTAAAGATTTCTACCGAAAGGAAATGTACTTGGTTCTAGACTCACTTATTACCGAGTATACCGATAACATTAAAGATTGCATCGACAAAATAAAACTCTTGGAGAGAGCTTACAGCTGCCACTAGAAAGGCCGATGGCTGAAACAGTTAATGAAATGTGTAGTCTTTTTCCACCGGCGTTAAAAGATGTTGATGAAGGAATACTGCTGTCTGAGTTGGAAATTTTCAATATTATTGTGTCATCACAACTTAAATCAGAGCCCAAATCCCTTCAAGACGTTGCGTTATTTGCTTTCAAACACAAAAACGTCTTTCCAACGTTGTGCAAGGCGTATCAACTATTGCTCACCGCTCCAGTGTCCGTGGCAAAAGATGAAAGGTGTTTGAGCAAGCTTAAGATTGTAAAAAATGCCTGAGATCCACAATGAAAGATACGCGATTAAATGACTTAATCGTTCTTGCATGTGAAAAAGATCTTAAGGACAATGTTGACTTAAATTTTATATTAAAAAAATTGGCAACTGCAAAGATGCGAAAACTGCCATTAAAGATTTAATAGTACGCTAAAGTGCGTTCTTCCACAAGAATACAAGAATACAACATGCATTACAAAAATGCATAGTGTAAGTACTGTTCCATATGATCTGCAGGGCATCTTGTGTCCTTGCAGGGCAATTTCATCCCAGCCCCATTAAAAGGTGCTAGTTTCGCCCCTGCTTACAGTTCAAGGAAAAGTTAACACAAAAATTAAATACAAAGTCTAATTTATGAAGTGCAGGCCACGAGATGATAATGATTTTCTTGATGCTTTTATGACAAACCAAAAATAATTTCACCTGCTTTCAATAATGCAGATGGCTTTTACTACAAAAATTATTGGCTGTTCCTCACTGTGATCAGCCCGCAACACACAAACAGTTTTACATAAAATTTCATGTGTAGAAACTATTTTTCATCTGAAGAATTATTAATTATTTCTTATAAAATGCAATTGAAGCGCGGGAGGACTCTTCTATTACAAATAAAAGGTAATGCTAAACTATTAATTTGGTAACATTTAAAAATTTATAATTTTAATATGACGCGCTGATTTTACACATTTGTCAAAAACAATGTGTTTGTTACCGCTTTTGCATACATACAATACTTTGAGAAATATCTATAGCTTAAATAATATTTACATCCTTCAGTAGATGATTTTGTTATTGACTATAACACAATGTTTTTCACCAGAAAGTCCAACGCCTTGTGCTCTCATGCAAAAACAGCTATATCCGTAGCTGTCTTTGATTAAGAAGATTAAGAAGCAACACCTTCAAGAGAACATCGTTCTGTATCGGCTCAACTGCTGATCCAACGAAAGTCTTGCACATACCAAATTCCCTAGAATGATAATACTTAATTGATTAGACCCACATTGATTCAAACTGTTTGCATGTTTTTTATGTTTTATTTTTATATATTTATTGTTTATTTACCAATATTTATCTTATCGCCAATGAAAGTCTTCATTAAATTTTGTGAAATGAAAAGCATGCAAGCGTTTTTTGACACATCAATACCAGAGTTAAAATAACCCTCAAAAGTGCTGATACAAGACCAAAATCAGTGTTCATCTAGCACCAACCAAGAGTGTTAATATAGCACCTATTTAAAGGTGTTAAATTTAACACATAAAAGATGTCATTTTTGCCATTTGTATTTAACACCTTTTTTGGTGTTGATTGAACACCCTAAAATGAACAGTGCATTGTTTACTCTGCATCGATCTAAATTTATCTCTTACACAAAGGATTATTTTATTGTATATTTTTTAAAACTTCTATGTACAATGTTTTTAATGTGATGTAATAATCTGTGGTTTCAAATTAATCAATGCTGCACAGACAGACACAACAGAATCAATATATGGTTTCATTGTTAATGGGATAACACCTTGTAATATAGCAAATGGCTTCAATCGTTGAATAATTCTTTCAATGGGAATCGTCTTTGTAACCACTCTCCTTGTCATTGTTGTTGCACCAGTGCCAACATTACCTTTATGCATAATTGGAAGTGAAATTAAACGGACATATTGAAGGGCAAGTAAATCTTGGATATTAAATCCTTTGTCAGCCATGACTTCCCTGCAGCTAGCTCTTCCAAAAATTCACATGTCTTGGTTATTTCCTTGTCGCTTGTGCAACCGCTGAACAATGTAGAGATATAGTTGTATATGTAAATATCAAAGAGGTGGCATGGAAATAAAGAGTTCGAAGGTGTTTCTGCCCTTGTCGTTACTATGAGTCCGACGTTGAGTTGAATCAATTATTTCACGAAGACATGGATTAGATTCGTAAACTTTAGGCCGGGTTATTCCTTCGATGTCTTTCAAAGTGATAAATGGAATAAATAGTTTAAATTCCTTCTCAAGAAATATCACCCATGTGAAGAATATGCTGCTACCACCAGTTTCTGACACTCCAAATTAATCACATAACATCTTGAGACTAAGGAATCCTTTGATTTTCAACAATGTGAATGTAAATTGATCATAAACGGAAGGTTTAGACCGTGTCCTAAAGACCACGGCTTTATTTGCATTTTTTATTGAAGACCATTATTTACTTTGGACTCCAAATACATACTGCAACAAAGATTCATACGTAGTTTCTACTTGTGATCTTAAAACGACTTTCATTTTTAATCTTATCGTTGGATTTATCGTTTTTCCCATAGTTTTATGTTTGTGATCAAACATATGGTACCACTATGCATGGTTATATCGTGGATATACACGGAGTCTTATACTGTCCAAAGTATCGTTTACGAAAAAGAGCTTTGTTTAAAGGAGTTCATGCAAATGATGGGATTGAGTAATTTTTACATTGGATTGCTTGGTTTATCAACAGTTTACTTAGTATATCCGTCACTGTTGCATTGCTCACTTTAATATTGAAGGTATTTTTCTAATTATGTACTAATTTATCCATATCAATCCCCCGCAGACAAATGTACATGGTTGGGTTTTTTCCAGTATGGTAAGATTCTAACGTACAGTAATACGTTTCTCGTCTGGCTATTTCTAATGGAGTTCGCTGTGGCTACAATCATTTTCTGTTGTTTGATCTCCGTGTTTTTCTCGAAAGCAACAATGGCAGCTGCATGTGCTGGTATTCTCTATTTTCTTACCTACATGCCTTTTGTGTTCATCTCCATACGCGAGAACGCTGCTGCTGCTAAAATCAGTGGGCTCACCAAACCGCATTTGGTTTGGCATCCAGATATTTCGCTTTGTATGAAGAACAATCAGTAGGAGTCCAATGGTCCAATATTGATGAAAGTCCAGTAAGTTTGTCTCCTTTCTCTCGGCTATATTTCTGTTTCTTTTTTAATCACTTTGAACATTTATTTTTGTAGTTGGTTGGCGACGACTTTAACATCCGTCAGATATTTTACATGTTGCTTGTTGACACTTTTGTTTATGCTGTATTGGTTTGGTACATTGAAGCTGTACACCCTGGATCTTATGGTCTTCCCAGACCTTGGAAAGTAGAGGTTTTGTAGATTACATGCTTATCATTCATTGTGTACATAGGAAGCTATTAACTGCATTACACCACTATTAACTTGAGTGTTTAATTGAGCAATATTTATGATTATATATTACTGTACCCTAGTACTGGTCTTTTTTTCTTGTTTATAATTTCTGTTTTCTTTTCCTTCCATTTGATAAGCAATTTTTAAAATTTCACCTGATAGGCCTACAGATAAATTAAATCACAGCAGCTCACGAAGACCTTTATTTTTTGCAAGATATGCAATTATACCGCGTTATAACCAACATAGTAAAAAGTGAAATTGTATACTTGTATAATAGGCTGAACCATTAACCACATTTTCAAAAAACACGCATTTCTGTATACTGCTGGTGTTAGCCAATAACTCATTCGCATAAGTTTTAAGATATTTATGAGTTAGGTTGGTTTGAACAGCAGCAACGTTTTCTTTAAAACAAGAAGAAGTTCGTCTTGGTCTTCTTGGATATCACGGAGTGTTATACTACGTCTTTCACATAAGGTTAGGAGGCCTTCAGCTGCGTATATTTCAGGATGTTTTGAAGCTCATTTTGGCCGTGGATTATATACTCTCGTCATTGTTTTTTTTCGTTTTACCGTTAGTTCTCTTCTATATGAATTTAAAATAAATGTATAAGCTTATAAAACGTTCAGCAAGCTTTCGTATAATTCACACATTTATGACAAAAAACAGTCAACACTTAAATTCTCAACAATTTTTATCGCTGAAATAGGGTGTGGGTTATCTACAGTAGGACCATTTTCCCCCACAAATTGAAGACTAAAAATATAACTGTCTTTCGTACACACAAATCTGTCACCTCAGTGACACGCACGAATCCATTGCTCTCACTTGTCGTTATGGTATTTCTTCCAAGGGAAATGTAAAAAAAATCCTTGCTTCCAATTGCGTCTCGTTTCAAGCGATCAGGATACCTTGAATTGCTTTTGTAGGTTCCCCAAGCGCAACTCTTTGTCGTAACCATTATTATTAAATTACTCCGCCATGTTTGTCCGAGATTTTCTTTTTAGCAAACACGTGTTTTCACATATATGAAGACCGCCTAAGTGGTGTATTGGAAAGCTATCTGTTCAACGTATTGTATAAAATTCACCAAATAATACCCACTATTACATAAGGAAGATATTTTTTACCCATAGTCTGTATTTTCATTACACAGCAGACACCAGTAGCTACATTGTCCAAATACAAGAACTTAATATATTAACACTAGAGCTTTATTACAAAATGAAAAATTTTCAAAATTGCCATAATTGTCGTTTATATGTCAATAAACATACATGCAAAGATTTATCTGCAGCTTAACCAAAGTGGTTCAAATTAAATACCTTCTAAGTTCCACATTTTCTTGAGTTTTCACCTATCAAGAAATGTATTTCACTTTCTAAAGAAAAGATTTTTTATAATGAAGAAATAAGAGCAATTTCTGAGAACATTTCTCTATGTTTAAAATGTATACGTCAGATAATGCAAAAACCTGGCCTTGGTTGTAGATCCTAAACATACACCAAAGTACCTTCTACCCAAAACAATGTGACATATGA